AACCCTAGTCCGAAGAGAGATAGGAGACACCAAAGGAACTTAACTCTCCTGAGTAGATAACCCCACTACTGGAAAATGTTAATGTACTAATATTTTCTCTTGTAGCTCGGCGGAGGTGTTCATCGAATGCAAGCGAACATTATTCCACTGGCACCTGCGGCTGATCGTGAAACAAGACGATTAATATTAACGACGCCATCTTTATGCGCAGAGAAGGCGTTGTCCCGGCGGTGCGGAGTCGCGCGTTCTGCAGAGTGTTCAGCGGCGACAATAGGGGACGAAGGACTGATGGGGGGCTTCTACTTCCTTGACAGTTCTAAAGCAGAGTGCTTAGTCCCGCTTGGATACGTGAGGGATTCGCGGCCCCTTTTCCGCTATATTCATGAGACTGCGTTGGTAGAGCGTCGCCGCGTCAACCTCTGCACAATATTGTAATGCGTATGCCACGTTGTCAGAGCCCCAGCAGACACAAACACACACAAAGCTACATGATATATAGCTACCATTCCTTTGTCCTATAGAGTCATAGGCATTATGCTAAACAAAGATAGCTCTGTACGTCTCTGCTGTTTAACTAATCCTTATTCCTTCCTTTTCTGTGCTTCGAGCCATCCCTCTATACATATATACCCCTTCATTTCAAAGTTTAATTAATGATTTTTTCCACTTGTACACACACACTGATGAATATTCAAACATTAATAGTGAGCAGAGCCATAGGCCTGATTATCTGAGAGATGGCACATCATAGATATTCCCTGGCAGATCCTGCTGTCGAATATATCTCTTTATCAGGCACCACATTCCACAGCAGCCGATGACCACACCCACTGGCAGGACCACCAGTAGAGAGATGGCCACTGCAATACCTGTAGCTAGTCCCACTGAGAGACCATTATTACACTCCTCTGATATGTTCTTCCTGGGTGCTGCATCGTGTGTGCTGACTTCAACAGTGAGAAAAAAACTACACTGAGGAGGACTTACTGAGAGTTGGTGTTGGTTGTGTTGGCTCTGTTGCAGTCACTGGAGGTGATATGCTTGTTAACCAATTACACACATGTACATCACATAAGGCAATGATACAAATTCAGAAACTGTTACTAAAAGAAAAAACATTCTTGTACTCTGCCTTTTCTACTTGTCCCTCAGCTATGTAGCTACTGACACATTGCCTTTAACTAATGCCCACAAAAACACCTCCAATAGTATATTATAGCTTTTTATTTATCAGCTTGCCATTTTGAGAATGAGAGGCAAACTATCTTCAGGATACATAGGAGTCACACTTATTTATAGCTACTCACTGAAGGTTTGAATGTTGGAAGAAGAATAGTTCCCAGAGTCTCCAAAGACCAGGAGACTGTACTCAGTTCCCTCCTCCAGCTCTCCACTGACCTTCTCCTCAATACACTCACTAGTGTAGCCACTGCTGTAGTTGAACTCTCTGGACAGCTCTAGGACTGGGTCTCCTCCATGAGAGATGACAACTCTGTACCTCACTCTCTGGAACACACACAACACTGGGAGCTGGAGGAAGAGGAAAATATAACGAGTAGAAATTATCAGCTAATGAATGATGGCAAAACAACTGAGATAATATGAGAAGGGCAGACCCACCTTCACACAAACGACAATCTCTTGTTTCCCACCCCCCAGGGGCAGCGTTTTCACCAGCTCTATGGCAGGAGCTGGACTGACTTGCACTGTGGAGTGTTGAATAATAGCAACTCTCTTAAACAAGAGGAATACACACATTTCAGTTGGGGAAAAACTGCGGAAAGTTGAAAAGTTGTCTTAAACAAGAGGAATACACAAAAACTGTGGACACAGTGGAAACCAGTTGCATTCACTGAACAGAACGGAAAGATAACTTACTCTTAGGGAAAAAGATGTTAGTGACGGAAATGTTGCTCTGGCCTATAGCATTAGAGGCTGTCACAGTACACTGGAGAGTGTAGCAGTCTGAGACACAAGGAGGTAGATCCACAGTGTGACTGACAACTGGTTCATTTAGGATGTCAGTATCATTGAGTGTCATGTCATGAATGATCCTCTCAGACTCAGTCTCTCTGCACACAATATCATATCCAGTGATGGGGTAGTCCTCCCAGGTGAAGGGGTGTGGCCAGGACAGCACAATCTCTTTCTCAACTCGGTCAACCTCATACCCCACCTCTGGCTCCTCTGGTCCTCCTGGAACAGGACAATGTTTGTAACGTTTCACAGAGTAGTAGCTATTCTTTCTCTACATACCTTTTATTGTCAGCGTTGCTTTTGATGAACTCTCCCTATTATTATCATAGCACTCCAGTAAAGTTCTGTTACGTGTCTTAGATGCAGTTATGTTAATACTGATGTTTGTGAATGAAATATCATCCACTGATGTTCCATTTTCTGTGGTTATAATAAGATTACCAGGTGCAGTAAAACCTAGAGTTATGGCTCTTCCGCCAATCCTCAGTCTCACGTCCTCATATCTTCCCTGTATCTGACAGAAGAAGTGGGCCACGTCTCCCAGGACCACTGTCTCGTTCTCCAGTGGAACCAGAATCTCTGCAGGTGAGTGATTCATCTCTACACTATCAGCATGCACATAGAGAGGCTTGTGGCTAGATACTATACTGCTGACTGAATACTCTACCCAGCTTTCCTCCACATCTCATTGGCTATCTAACTACCTCTCAGCTTTACCTCTCATCCCCAAACCAAGATAAAAACTCCAATAACCGACTACCAGACACCAGCTGTGGTCAAACAAAAAGCTCCCTAGCTAATAATTATACCAGCAAACACTTATACAAAACCTTGAAAGTCGTGCACGTTGGACAAAACAAAACTAAGACCTCGCGAGCAAAGTAATGCAGCAAAGCCTTAGCCATCTTTTATGTACACGGCATTCAAAATCACAGACAGCACAGATAAAAAAGAAACACGGTCAAGTTAACAGAACTATTTGCTGCCCGCGTGTATATACAGACAAGAAAAGACGCGATGTTGTGTTGATAATTGCATCGTACTTGCATTAGTGGTGTCAGCCTGGCAGGAGAGAGACAGTGCTAGCAGGGTTGAGAGGACTGCTTAACGCAACGCACTCCTCTGGAACCAGCAAGACTCTGAGCTTCTCATCATCATGGTCCTCTTCTAACAACACCGCGCTGCCAGGTACAGCGCTGCATGTTTTGCGCGCGCTTTCAGACAAAATTAATGCGCGACTATTATATATGGTGGTATATATGGCTCTACACAAAGATGAAATTCAAACATTGACTTATTTCCTTCTCTTACTATATAGCAGAAGCCATAGGCCTCATCAGAGAGAGGGAAAGTATTGTAAATGAGAGACGGCACATCATAGATATTCCATGGGCCTGGCAGATCCTCCCATCGAATACTTCTCTTTATCAGGCAACACATTCCACAGCAGCCGATGACCACACCCACCGGCAGGACCACCAGTAGAGAGATGACCACTTCAATACCTGTAGCTAGTCCCACTGAGAGACAATTATTACACTCCTCTGATCTGTTCTTCCTGGGTGCTGCATTGCGTGTGCTGACTTCAACAGTGAAAAACAAACTACACTGACTGAGAGTTGGTGCTGAATTGAATGGTTGTGTTGGCTCTGTTGTTTCAAGTCACTGGAGGTCCTGGAGGTGTATATATTATACTAGTGGGTGTGTGTTTGCCACTTACTTATATACTTACCTGACTCAAATGTATATAAGCATGTTATGCCCACAAACAAAGGTTTTGTGTCAGTTTATCAACTTGCCATTTTGGGAATGGATAGGCAAACAAATCTTGAGCATACATGAGAGTCACACTAATAGCTACTCACTGAAGGTCTGAATGTTGGAAGAAGAGTTCACAGAGGCTCCATCATCCACAAAGACCAGGAGACCGTACTCAGTTCCCTCCTGCAGCTCTCCACTGACCTTCTCCTCAACACACTCACTAGTGCAGCCACTGCTGTAGTTGAACTCTCTGGACAGCTCTAGGACTGGGTCTCCTCCATGAGAGATCACAACTCTGTACCTCACTCTCTGGAACACACACAACACTGGGAGTTGGAGGAAGGAAAAATGAGGTGGTTGCTGATGAAATGAAAAGCACTAAATCCCTCTGTGGCATTGTACCACGCATGTGGGTTGGGCTATGTGTATAGCTTAGTATAGCAACATATTCTGTCACAATCAGAGTGTGTGACTCTAGGCCAATTAACATGCTAAGAAGATTCAGACTGGCTTTACAAAGCAGGCCTGAAATGAGAATACACAGAGAGCATGTCCTAAAGCCTAGGAACATGATAATCGAGAAGGACAGAAAATCACAACACATCAAATCACAACACAGTTATGATCACGCGGAAATCAGACAAATCATACAACAATTCGGTTCCAGGACTGAGATTAGGACCATCAATGAATGAATGGCTCAAGTAGTTAGACCTGCTGTTAGCTAATGCGTGCGTGTGCGCGCGTGTGCGCGCGTGTCCTGAAGGGCTGAAGGAAAAAGGCTCTGTAAAACACGTGCGAGGCTAGCGTTCATCTGCGCTAACCCAGACCTTCGCTAAGAGTTGGCATCCGTTTTACAGCTTTCCACGTGACAACGACGAATGAAGCCACACTGAGCTCAGTGACTACGCATGCTCGATACGTACGTATGATAATCACAAACGCGCTCGCCAGTTTAGGCGCGGAGGGACCGGTACAATTACCCGCGGTTGGTGTAGTCGGGATACCCGCTCAGCCATCTACAATTAGCGTTTAGATTTTTATCATTCGGTAGCTAATCTAGGTTTCGCTGCCCTCTATACGCTCGTCTTCCGTTGATGGCATGCCTCCGCAGTGCACAAACAGCAACAAAATCATGTGGAGGTAAGCCAGTACTAAATAGTAGTTGCTGCCATCTGTCCATAAATGCAACTTGTATTACATACTAGTGAGTAAAAGTACAAACAATTTAGGCCACCCTATTCTTTCACTGCACTCTCCAGCTATAGTCAAGGTATTCAGGATGATTGGTTGGCCTGTCCTTCCCCCCACTTGCTTGCTAAAAGTACAAACAATTTAGGCCACCCTATTCTTTCACTGCACTCTCCAGCTATAGTCAAGGTATTCAGGATGATTAGTTGGCCTGTCCTTCCCCCCACTTGCTTGCTAAAAGTACAAACAATTTAGGCCACCCTATTCTTTCACTGCACTCTCCAGCTATAGTCAAGGTATTCAGGATGATTGGTTGGCCTGTCCTTCCCCCCACTTGCTTGCTAAAAGTACAAACAATTTAGGCCACCCTATTCTTTCACTGCACTCTCCAGCTATAGTCAAGGTATTCAGGATGATTGGTTGGCCTGTCCTTCCCCCCACTTGCTTGCTAAAAGTACAAACAATTTAGGCCACCCTATTCTTTCACTGCACTCTCCAGCTATAGTCAAGGTATTCAGGATGATTGGTTGGCCTGACCTTCCCTCCACTTGCTTGCTAAAAGTACAAACAATTTAGGCCACCCTATTCTTTCACTGCACTCTCCAGCTATAGTCAAGGTATTCAGGATGATTAGTTGGCCTGTCCTTCCCCCCACTTGCTTGCTAAAAGTACAAACAATTTAGGCCACCCTATTCTTTCACTGCACACTCCAGCTATAGTCAAGGTATTCAGGATGATTGGTTGGCCTGACCTTCCCCCCACTTGCTTGCTAAAAGTACAAACAATTTAGGCCACAAAACGACTAAAAACTCGGTGAGAATCACGCCCTAGGCCTTAAAAACATACTAGCAATAGTCTACGGGCCTATACATGCCCCCCAAGACCTCATACGCACCTTCAGTCGTCCACGGGAGAATTCGCTCTTACACGATTTCACGATTTTCGTGTCATCATCATATTCTTCTTCTTCCTTAAATTACTTCTTCACTCCTCAAACTTGCTAACTGTAGCATGCATGGAGATGAAACTTGGTACGCATGTGTGTAACATCGTTTCCATGACGACTACAACAACAAATAGCCTATAGCCTCAGGCACTTTTCTTTAAAAATCACTTCTTCACTCCTCAAACTTGCTAACTGTGCACGCATGGAGATGAAACTTGTTGCGCATGTGTATTACATCATTTCCATGACGACCACAACAACAAACAATTAACATGCTAAGACAACAAATAGAATCAGATACTTTTCTTTAAAATTACTTCTTCACTCCTCAAACTCGCCAACTATAGCACGCATGGAGGTGGAAGTTGGTGCGTATGTGTATTACATCGTTTCCACTTGCTTGCTAAAAGTACGAACAATTTAGGCCACCCTATTCTTTCACTGCACTCTCCAGCTATAGTCAAGGTATTCAGGAAGGTTAGTTGGCCTGTGCTTCCCCCCACTGAATAAGACGTGCCTTTTGTTGTACAGTTTATCGATGCAGCGTCAGTTGGAGATGGATGCCAACGAGACGGCTCAGTTGGAGGAGAGGGAGAGAGAGATGAGGCAACTGGAGGTATAGATGTGTATTTTCACTGTGTCAGAGTGACACACCAGCTTTATGTACACATACATAATTATGATGCAGCCAACTATGCATGATCCGATTTTGTGCATGCTTAAAAAAATTGTTTGTGGTTGATTCAATTTAGCATCAGACTTAAATGACTAGGTACAGTATTCGAAATTTGCTTCTTCTCAAATATATTGTTCACTGGGTTGTGGAGAACACGATTAGTGCCCACTTTGTGTTAAGTGTCTACAGATGCTCTTGTTTTGTGTACATATGTCCAAATTTCCAGACTGATATCTTGGACATCAATGACATATTCCGAGACCTGGGAACCATGGTCCATGACCAGGGAGAGCTCACGGTGAGTACTAAAACACTACGTATTGTTTGCCCATTTTTGCACGTATATTTTGATATTTGGTGTGCACACCAGTCCATTTTTGTAAATCCAACCGAAACCTAATGCATACTAATAAATGCATAATGTTGTTGCTCAAAATGTGTTTCTTTTAAGCATGACAGTAATTTTTGCATTATTACTGTTATGTTGTGATACCTGTACCTGTACAATATTGGTTGGCAGCCATGTGTTAGTAAAATTATTACAACAACTCTTCATGCCATCATTCATGTAGATAACATAGAGACCCAGGTTGAAACTGCAGCGGTTAGAGTGGAGAGTGGCAACAAACAGTTAGAAAAGGCTGTCAGACACAAGGTGAGAGGGCATTTATTTCTGCACTATAGAGCCTGCTGCCCTTCAACCTGCTACCATAAGCACTTGTGTGTTTGTGGAGCTGGGAGGGGGAGTGTAGCCACACCTGCACTTGTGATTGTCTCAACAATGGACATGATCATATTCATTGTTTAAAGTTAATGACACGCACACTCACTTAAATTTTCGTATTGATGGCACGCTGATTAACCCTCGGCGCGCATGCGCAGCGAGGGTTACAGTAGTTGGGTTTGTCTGTGTGTGTGTTCTGTCTGTTAGTCTACATCTCACTTCTCGAACGTCTGTTTGTCCCAGAAACGATACCATCTACCCAACGGGCGACGAAGGTCAGAAAATAAAGGCGGTTTTCTATGAAAATGCTCCGTTGCAAAGCTAGAGCACGAAAAAGCCAATAATTATGCAAATACGCAACGGCTTACCGCGATCGTATCGATCCGCGTTCTCTGCGACCTCGGAGGCACCAGAAGATGCAACGCAGGGCGTGTATCGCCTCTCGCATGCTGTCTAGTAATGTAGTTAGCCCGTGTCAGACTCTGCGCGAGATGGCTAGAGACGTCAGGAGTAACAGCCAGAACTAAACCCAGCCCATCAATTAGTGATACAGCGCATGCGTTTACTCACGCGTGCGCGTCACAATGCGCCGAGGGTTTGCACTTCAGTGCTTTTCATTTTGTTATTGCTAGGTGTTTTACCTTGAGGTAACATGTCTTTGTTAAAAATTATCTACTCAGAAATGTTCCCGCAAGCTGACGTGCTGCATCGTGTGTCTCCTGCTCGGGATCCTTACTGCAATCGTCATTATCGTCGTCGTGTTGCTTGCCATTTTCACTGACGCATTCAAGAAGAGTAATAATAAATAAACACTGTTCTGGATTGAGGTTATTTTAATTGTAAACTTTCGTGTTGTTGTCTGTTCAATGTATGTGTATTATACCACTATAATTATACCAGTTTTATCTGATAAACAACGGCACAATTTGTTACATAGTCCAGGGAAGAGAATGTTGCTCTACTTTACTTCCCGATGTGCGGTCTCTTGTGTTGTGTTACAAATGGGGACAAAAAGAAATGGAATTGCAAGCGCCCAGCTGATAGCCTCGAAACCAGGCCTTCTGCCTCCTTCCACACCTTCCTTCGCCTTCCCTCTGCCTCCTTCCACGCGTGGGGTCGTCCCTTCGCTCGGCATATCGGGCTCAGGCGTGGACGATTTTCGGAGTGCATGCGTGCCGCGAACTATAGGATGACGTTTTTATAGTAAATTACGTCATAGAATTCTAAAACGGCCGCGCGCGCCGGCTTTCGTTTGACGCGACACGCATCACGTGATATAATCGCAGGCGCGCGCTCCGCGTCTCCGTAACGTAGGGAGCATGCGCGCGTGGAGGAGGGCGGCTAGCGCGCGCTAGGCCTGGTTAGGTTTGCAATTTGGAGGATCGTCGATAATAGACACGTGCGCGCGCATCGCGCGCACACAGGCTAGGGCCGCGGCGCCGAGCACATTGCCGCGCACGCTTGAACGTGTCAAGGAACATTGCAAGGAACAGCTCCACGGGTATTATAACTACCAACGTTGGGTCGACTATCACATTTCGCGCCGTGTGAGCAAATTCTTAATTTCTGCAGTGGCTTGATTTTACAAGAATCGAATATGGCTCAGGGGTCTCCATACCGTGTGGCCGAGTGGCTTCCCTCCGACCAAGCGGTCGTAGACAATTGGCTGAGAAAACTCATCGAGAAGGTGGATGGCAGACGACAACCCGAGGACGACGAGAAAGAGGACGAGCTTCTACCGGTGATCCAGGAGTTCAAGGATACCGTCGAGAACGACGCGGAGCTCATGATGTTTTTCAACCTCATGTTCGAAGAGGTTCCGTTCGAGACGGATCCGACGGGCCAGCCGCAGGTCAAGGACTACAAGCAGATGTTTCGGCTCTTGAACGCCATCATGACGGAGGCGCCCGAGTACAACGAGAGCGGACTCGTCGGGTTCCCCATCAACGCTATTCTCAACTGGACCATGGCCACCACCAACGGCTACGCCGCCTACCTCAATGATACCGTGAACGACCAGTTCAGGAAAGTCCTCAACTACTGGGGGCAGTTTCTCATGTCTCCCCACTCGAGCTACGTGCTCAGCCACGATTCGGAGAGCGGTTGGTTCGGCGAAAAGGCCCTCGCAAATATGCCCGGGTTCACGGTCCAGTTCAAGTGCGACCCTTCGAAGCGCATTACGGTTTCAAGTCCTGGGACGACTTCTTTACGCGAGAGTTTCGCGAGGGAATCCGCCCTGTTGCGGCCCCCGAGGACGACCAAGTCATCGTGAATGCCTGCGAATCGGCACCCTACAAGATCCAGCGCGACGTCCAACTGCGCGACCAGTTTTGGATCAAGGCGCAGCGGTATTCCCTGCTCTACATGCTCGGAAACGAAACAGACGCGTCTCAATTCGTCGGTGGCACCGTCTACCAGGCGTTCCTTAGTGCAATGAACTACCACCGCTGGCACAGCCCCGTTGACGGAAAGATCGTGAAGACGTGCCAAATACCAGGCACGTACTACTCCGAGACTCTATCCAAGGGATGGGACCCAAGCGGACCCAACAGATCCCAGGGCTACATCACCGAAGTCGCCGCGCGCGCACTCATCCTCATCGAGGCCGATAACCCGGAGATCGGACTGATGGGCTTCCTCGCCGTCGGAATGGCCGAGGTTTCCACGTGCGACGTTACGGTGCAGGCGGGGCAGGTCGTCAAAAAGGGACAGGAGATCGGCATGTTTCATTTCGGAGGCTCTACGCACTGTCTCATCTTCCGTCCCGGTGTCAAAGTGGAGTTTGATCTCAACGGTCAGAAACCAGGCCTTCACGCCAAGAAGCTTCGGATCAACTCACTGCTCGCAACTGTCGCCAACCCTACCATTCCTCGGGACCATTATAGGTCGCAAACTAAGTTTTGAAGCTTGGCAACTTGAACAATGTAGCTCTTGAACAATGTAGCTCATGGTGAACTTTTGTAGAAAAGCTAGTAACTTACATACTATTTCATTACTTTTATAATACCTGCGGTAAAAGAGCGTAGGGCTGTGCCAGTCCTTCGATATTGAATGGCAGTAAGAAGTGAAATTTTCCTTCCACAGGCCACTGGCACATACACAGCTACCACAGGCCACCGGCACATACATAGCTAGATGGCGTGTGGTGCCGCAGACAATACTACTTCTCCACACAGCGTTGTACCACTTGCTTCTCTGCGCCCGGTCGCTGCCCGGTCTCCCTTCACGTGGGCGCGCTAGTAAAAAACTGGCGTGCGCATGCGCGTATATTACGCGCGTGTCGGCGAGTGCGCACAGCGGCGCTAGTTGTGCGCTAGTTTCAAGAGCAACTGATTTCGCTGCTCATTTTCGGTACTGCGTTATATTTTTACCGGTTATGTTGTCGTATGAAGGCTGTGCAGGAAGCATCAGATAGTGAGATTTTCAGTGTCTTTCACAAGAGTTAACAAAAGTCTGCAATCGTTCATTATTACAGCATAGAGACACAGTGTTACAGGGTTTAAAAACGATACATCATGTTGCTTGCACAGAAATAGCTAGAGTTTAGATACATAAAGAAGGTCCCTCAATCTCAGGTACCCGGCCCAGGCTACTCTAGTCAGCGCTCCTAATCCCTCTCGTCTACCGCTTTACACACACCTCTCTATATAGCAACCCTCTGCAGCGACACATAGTAGTCGAGAGTGTCTTGAGATATCGAAAGTCTGGCGTTCTCTGGCTCTTGTCCCAGGTGAGACATGATGTGAAGAGCGCGTCAGGACAGCCGTCGGGCTGGGCATATCTGTAACCATCTTCAACCTGCTCTAGAAACTCCTGCAGCAGGATATGTGTGAAATGGAGATCAGAGATAGAAGTGGGGTGGAGGTTAGCAAGTGTATGTAGGTATTCTGTCTCCTCATCAGTGCTGGTTTAGGTGTATGTAGCTAGCCCCCATACCCCCCAGAGCCAGCCCCCTTTTTCCTCCTACATACATAGCTACAACAGAATGCTCATATAGGAGAGGTAGCTATTATAACGGATTTTAGCTGCTCTTCCTATGGTGTTTGTTAGAGTCGTCATAATGGTCATGTTCGAGGGGAGTATTCTAATGGCTTTTAGCCGCTCTTCCTATACGGTTGTTTGAGTTGTCTCCCACACCTGCAACACACACAACAAATATCTAAGTGGCAGACACACTGTTGCTCATCCCAGGGTAAGGATGGAACCCTTTGTCATGATCTCGTACATGAGGATACCATAGGACCACAGTCGACTTGATGTGTAAGTGGTTGTGTACAGTGCAGCCTCGGTGCCGTCCACTTTGATCGGGGAACTTGTCCCTTCTCGAGGATTGTAGATGTCTTCCTTGATGACTCTGGCAAGCCCAAAGTCCGCCACCTTGCAGACACTCCCATCGCCGACGAGGATGTTGCGAGCTGCCAAGTCACGATGGATGTACGAGTGCTCTTCCAAATAGGCCATCCCTGTAATAGAAAAATACACAAAAAGTGTTTTATGCAAATGTAAAACACTCTGGTGCATGTAGTGGAAAGTAACGCCATACATTGTAAGACCATTAGTAAGCGAAAGTATTTCACGCCACATTATTGTAAGACCATTTGTAAGTAATTATAATGCACACATTATGCAAATGCACTCGCTTTGTGTGTAGTGGCCATTAGTAAGCTAAAGAAATGCATTTTGCGCCACAATTTTGTCAGAGACCATTTGTAAGTAATGCACACATGCAAATGCAGAACACTCTCTGTGTATGTAGTGGATTGTCACACCATAAGACCACTCTTCCAAATACTCCGTAAGTAGATTGGCACATGTATTAAAGGGTGCATGTTCAGAGTTCACGGAGAACTAGATCAACTGCTTTTACAGCTCAAGAAGAAGTACAAACTGGCCCAAAAGACAACCTTACTCTTATACTTTTCTCTCTTGACATTGTGCCACCATAATGTACCCAAGCCTTGTTCCTCCACCACCATTCCACAATCCAGTTTCTTGGTGAACTTGAGCATCGTTCGCTCTATCTCCCACTCATCTCTGGAAAAGACAGAAATAACTGCATACCCTCATGCAACCCTCAGTCTTATGCCTCGATTCCATCCTCTCAAGATTCTTGGCTAGAGGCTACACCATCTCCTTGGCTCTTTTGACTCAACTATATTACACCACCCCATCATCTATTACTGGTATTCCTAAATGACTAGACAATAACAATTTTGTGGAGGTAATATATATGTTTATGGCATGATCTTTTATTGAAAAGCTATAGAAATTGGATAGCGTTAAGCTATCTTTTTTACTGCATGGCCAGTAATGTTTGTATGTAGCTATGCGTGCGACTTTAGTCTTTATTTAGAGTTTTTACTATTGGATTTCTATTGTCTTGTATTTGTGTGTACAGCACTCCATAGGAGGAGAAAAATGATGACCTCGTCAAACGTCGCTTTCGGGAAAACAAAGCGAGAGGAATGGTGATGAAAGGGTAGAAAAATAGTTTTTCTATCCATAGAAATCGTCGAAAACACGACATAATGGATCCCTGGAGTGGCAAATAACAGGATTTTATAAAAGAGAACAATTGGCTTGCTGACTCAGCAAATGACATCCGCACGTGATCATGTCCGACCCCCTTGGTATATGAGGTCCGATTTCTTAGTCAGCATGTTCGGAAAACGGGTAACCCAATGAGATTGCTGGATTTAGAACTATCATGTGACATGAAAGCAATCTGCAGGAAACCTAGGCCAAAACGAAGGAATTCTTCCACGTGACCGTGTCCAACCTCCTCTGAAATCGGACCTTATTTACACCAGACCCCCCTCTTTCGCGCGGGAGCACGTGTGGGGTCCCGGGCACGAGACTATCTCTTTCCCAGCTATATAGCAGAGACCCTTCCACGTGGCGGGCGGGCTGGGCACGAGACTAGCATTACGACGACGGACGGTCGGTGCTAGCAGTGCAATATTTTTGTAGAAGCGCGTAGAACATTATACGGTATGTGTCGTATATAGAATAGTCCGCCAGTTGAGGTCGCAAATAAAAGCACTAAAGTGCAAACCCTCGGCGAACTGCGCATGCGCGGTACTGCTAATTGATGGGCTGGGCCTACTATTATATTATACTCGTGATCTTCCGCTAGTAGCTCGCGGAGAGTCTGACACGGGCTAGCTACAGCATGCAGGAGTCGATACACGCACATCGTTGTGGCTTCTTGTGCCTCCGAGGTACAAAGAGCAAGCGGATGAGGTCGAAGTAAGCCAGTGCTAATTAGCAATTGGCTTGTTCACTTGGTTTTCACGCCATAACTTATGAACGCGGCACTTTTACGAAATTCCACGAGTCAAAATCCAACGAGAAACCCGTGTGTATCGTTGCTTGCTGATATAAACGGACGCTGAAGCAGCTAGAGCGGTAACAGATACACACACACACAGACAGACAGACAGACACAGTAACTTGAACCTTGCCCGATCCTCAAAAATGATGCAGAGGCTTGGCCCAATCACATTGCTGTCAAGCCCAATCGCACTGGTTTGCTCAAAATGAGTGGTTCTTTAGTTGAAAATGACAAGTGCATACTTCAGCAAATTATTACTAGTAGGCGAATGCATGGCATTTTTGTCGAGCACACAATGACTCTATCTGCACGAGCCATCCTACAACTTGAACCTTAGAATCACGAAGATTGGAAGGAGGTATAGACAGCCTCGGTCAGGTATCGAAGAGCGCAGCGAATGCCAACGGATGCAACAAATAGACGAGAGTTCTTTGGCTGGCTATAAGTATTTCGCATCGATATGACAAAGGCAGCGTGTAAAAATTTGCGCGTTCCCTATCACGAAAGCGACGCTGATACAAACGAGTCTCTCTGCTCAGGCGTCTCACGGGCAAGATGTTCTCTTTCCCACTCTCTTCGACGACGAAGGGCATCTTCCCCGGACTATATGCACATGATATTACGCACGACATCATCGACAGGCAGCATGTGAAATTTTGAAATCCTTTCGGATAAAACGAAGCGCGTAATCCTGGAGCATGCGCAGTTGGACAACGTACGGTCGTCGAAAATCCGCGCCGTTCGTACCACTAGGGTTAGCTCGCACCCGCTCGCCAATTATAAAATTTTTTTTGTTTTAATCGCCCATGAATCATCAATAGCAGAAATGCAGTCATTTAACCCTGTACGCAGCTAAGAATGTCTGAGACTTTGCATTGAAAACTACTGGATTTTCGATGTGCTCTATTGGCATTGGATCACGTTCAGTCATAAGCACGACACAACCAGCTTCCTCGACAGCCTCTTGCACTTGTGGCAGTGAGAGTGTCAGAACAGGCCATTTACTTCCTCCTACATAATAGAATGTTTCGTCTTCATCAAATAGGATTGCAAAATATCCACCAAGCCGCAGCATTTTCACAACATTTTTTATTGCAGCTTTGAAATCTTCATAGGTTTTACAAGCTGCCTCAAGGGATAAGCATGTAAATATAATAGAAAATGAATTATTTTCTTCGGTTGGAGTTATTTGGGTGCTCATCGTAAACATTGCAGCTAGCAACTTTGATCTTTGAACGCAGCAATGCTGCTCTCTCCTGCCATGCGGCATCTCCTTCCAAACCTTCAATTTCATTTACAACATACTTGATATAGGGACTCCAATCATGGGCATCTTTATTATCATTCTTCCACAATTCAATTTCCTTTCGTTCATCTTCTTTGTAAGCAGAATGAACAATTTCAGAGACATGCGGTGCTGCACTGATGTAGTTTAGTATTACTGGACCGCCACTGAAATCTAGCAATCTTGCATTCTTCTTATCCCAGTGAGAGCTGTATCTTTTTAAAACTTCGTTAAAAACCTTCAATCGAAACTTGCTAAGCCAATCCTTTTCCTGATCAGAGTAAAACGTCTGAAGATACTCCTTTGTACTAAAACATGTCGAATATTGCGACTGGTCAAGAAGACTCATTTTGAAGGCACACTGAAAGGGTAGCCAGCTAGAACTCAGGCTCTCCAACTGACTCTGTATTATAATAAGCGCGTAACCACAGGGAGATGATGTAACACGGATGCATGCCCGGGCCAATTTGGCAAAGGCTATGAGTGTCATAGCCAATGAGGGTTCAGAAGCCAGTAGCTATGTGCTCTGATCATTTGTCGGCCTGAAGTTGGCAGGCACACAAACATGCACTTATTAGTCAAAGTGTGCAAAATGGAAACAAATCCACAATATTAGCAGACAATTAAGTAATACAGTAATATGTGCACAGTTCTTTGCACCAGAGAAAATCCTATCCTTGCACTTATTAGTCAAAGTGTGCAGCCATAAAGTGCAAGGTAGGAAAGATAATGTGTGCACGTGGATAGCAGGTGCAGAATGCATCCTGATAATGTTCTCTGGACAGCTCGCCTCAGGTGAGCCTGTCCCACGGAGCCACCCTCACCGCACCTCGAAGTGTATTTCGCTCTGCAAAGATTGCAGCCAATGAGGGTTCTGAAGTCAGTAGCTTCGATCATTTGTTGGCCAAAAGTTGGCAGACAAAAACATGCATTTAATAGTCAAAGTGTAGATATAAACTGCATGGCTTTGTGAGCTTCTAGCTACCACCAACATGCATAATGTTTGCACGCAAAGATTTGGCATGATCTAAGCAATGCTCATTAATGTGGTATACTCACTGCGAATCGGCACCCTACAAAGATCCAGCGCGACGTCCAACTGTCACTGCTTGAAGTAGGACAATTTACTGTCTTCTGTTACAACAGTAGATTCTCTGACCAACTATGAGTATACTTAGAGTTTACTCACTGTCAAACTCCTGTGGGTTTACTGTTGGGTATACTCTCTGTGCACAATAATGCTTAGTTTACTGAGCCAAGTAAATGCTAAGGGCTGCTTCTTACTAGATTACTGATGATTTACCCAGTGATAAACGTAACAGCAAATTTAAATGTGAGTGATACACATGTAAGTATAACAACTGAATTGCAAAAGCTACATATTATTTCAGTTCAGTAGGTTCGCTCAAAACTTCATTAGCAGGTGGCCTTGTGAGATATTTAACTGATCTGCATCTGCTGGCAATTGAATGTAAAACTGATGAATGATCAACTCTATCATGTGTCTTATCAAGAATGGCAAGCAGCACTCCACCTACAGAGAACATGTCACTGTTCTTAGTTTGACAAGTAACACCCTGAATAACCTCTGGTGCCATATGTGTATAAAGCCTGGTATATTCTGCTATCTCAACAGGTGACAGGGAGTATTTGTAGGCACAATCAATAGTGCATGCTTTTCCAAAATCAACGATTAGGGCTTGAAATTGAACTAGAGGCGATGATCTAGAAGAATTCTTAAAAGAGTCACAAATGATGATGTTATCACATTTAAAGTCATTGTGTAACACATTGGCACCCTCGTGTAAATAGCGCACACCTTCAATAACTTGGACGATCAGTATAAACCAATCATCTCGAAGTTGTTTATCATACAAAGCAGAGGAAAATGTAAAAGATATTGAATGCTGACTCAAACCATGATATTGCATTACAATGGAATATGGGCGGCTCCTTAAACAGACGCCAAACAGGTACGGTACGTGGGGATGACCGAATTGTGCAAGGATTGAAGCTTCACGGCGTACATCAGCTAACAATGTTCTTGGCAAAGCTTCTTTAACTGCAACACTAATCCCACGATACAGTTGGACCTTAACTACGCCAAATGACCCCCGACCAATGTAACACTCATCAACTGATTGCATACTGGGCGGCAGAAGTAGATGTTTAGGATCAATTTCAAGAATTGTAGTATTAGTGATACCTGAACCACTACGAAATGACCTCGAATTCTTTTTTGTGCCTGGAGATATTCCTTTCGCTGTTGTGTAATTCCCACTGCCACCGTTCCCAAAAAGACCTTGACATGCGCTTGTACTTCCAAACTTCAACCTGCGCCTTTGTCCTTAGCTCTCGCTCTTGCTTTAAAGTATCAGCTACAGCCTGTGCCGAAACTTCACTTTCCAAACGCTTCCTTTTACGTCTTTCTTTCCTCATCTTTCGTTTTTCAGCAGGGGTATTCTTTCGCCGTATCCGCCGGACATCCGAGCTCTCCATACGAGAAGGTTGGAAGGTCAACACGTGAAATTGCGCATGCTCATATGAACTTTGTACTCTCCGCCCAAGTACTTTTGGCGGCACTGCCCGCTCTTCCTCTTCACCTAGGACTCCTAAAAGAAGTGGTACCAGTCTTTTAAAAGACGGTTTGTGGATCCGGTTTGCTTACGTGGTGCAAAAGTAGCATCTTTCGCAGTATGTATTCATGTTCAACGGCCAAGATGCACCCATCTTTCGGCTTGTGCGCTGCCAAGATGCACCCATCTTTTGGCAGAGTAATGTGTGCATGTGTTGTTTGTTCGTACAGCTAAGATGCTCCCATCTTTCGGCTCGTGCGCTGCAAGATGCACCCATCTTTTGGCAGAGTATGTGTGCATGTGTTGTTTGTTCGTACAGCTAAGATGCCCCATCTTTCGGCTCGTGTGCGCCAAGATGCACCCATCTTTTGGCAGAGTATGTGTGCATGTGTGTGTTTGTTCGTACAGCTAAGATGCTCCCATCTTTCGGCTCGTGCGCTGCCAAGATGCACCCATCTTTTGGCAGAGTATGTGTGCATGTGTTGTTTGTTCGTACAGCTAGATGCTCCCATCTTTCGGCTCGTGCGCTGCCAAGATGCACCCATCTTTGGCAGAGTATGTGTGCATGTGTTGTTGTTCGTACAGCTAAGATGCTCCCATCTTTCGGCTCGTGCGCTGCCAAGATGCACCCATCTTTGGCAGAGTATGTGTGCATGTGTTTGTTTGTTCGTACAGCTAAGATGCTCCCATCTTTCGGCTCGTGCGCTGCCAAGATGCACCCATCTTTTGGCAGAGTATGTGTGCATGTGTTGTTTGTTCGTACAGCTAAGATGGTCCCATCTTTCGGCTCGTGCGCTGCCAAGATGCACCCATCTTTTGGCAGAGTATGTATGCATGTGTTGTTTGTTCGTACAGCTAAGATGGTCCCATCTTTCGGCTCGTGCACTGTAAGAACTTGGTATCAATACATATCTATGAAGTGCATTTATGATTATAATGAAATCTCTCTGTATTGCGTATAGCAAGAGAGCAAAAAAGTTTTGTTTGACTGGAGAGTAAATGAATCTTCTTTCACCTTTGTACTCTAAATCTAAAGGTAAGTTAGCTACAGTGTTTAATAAATTATTTTTAGTGTTATACAGATAAGGAGAGTCCTGAAGAGCTGGAGTAGTGAACAAGTATCTGCAAAAATAGTTCTATCAGCTATAATATATCATTATCATATTAAATTCATAACACAATGCGCAAGCGCTTTGCTACGCCATGTGAATGGAGGAGTAAAGCCACTGCACACAGAGTAAATATTTCAAATTCCACAGTATGAGTTACAAGGAACCACTGCAACAGCCGATGAATCATGCTTAAACACAGTATAAGCACAGCGACAAAGTATGGATGACAAGAAAACATAGAAATATCCATGACTGCTACTGAGAAAGTGTGTGTATCAGGCTTTTGAAATATCAAAACAGGTTTAGCGTAGAAGTCCTTTTGAGGATGCTCTTGCAGTGGAACTACTTTAGCTAAAATAAACTTTGAGACAGGCATCGACCTAAAAACAACCGTACATTCAACAAAACCAACAATAAAGCAGGAACATTCTTGTATAACATTGTTTTCATCTTTATAGCGAACGATAACAAGAGAACTATTTTGTTGTCTTGAAAAGAAAGTCCCATACAGGTCCCCATTAAATACCATACACTTCGATTGCTTATGAAGAATCAACGTCTGGATAAACTCAGGTCCAATGTATTTGTTAAAGTATTCATTAATTATGCTAATATCCATAGCAAAAAATCCCTTTTCCTTGATTGGTGGTAACAGCTTTCCATAGTTGTTCGCATTGAAAATTGTGGATGGTTCAAAGGGTTTGACAATGTGATCAAACAAAGCCCCGAGATAAGCATTCTCCTTAGTTGCACGTAATTCATCTATCACAGGTTTTAAATCTTGTGTTACCTGTGTATCGGGCCATTCAATGTGACCTACCTGTTGCTTACTAATAAACTTGCGAAAAAGTTGCACCTCAACAGCTTTATTATTGGTATGAAAGCTGCCCAAAACCCCCATTCATTCGTTCGAAAGCAAACAGCCAAAATGAGGAAGCAGGACCATAGTCAAGTAGACACTCTTTTAGGTGGCAATGCATATGAAGGTTTGGATAACAATATTCTTTTCCAAATTCAGCCTCAAACAGGCAGCAGTAATGATGAATTAGCATGTCAGCACGGTTAATTGCATTTTTAGACAATACACGAGAACAGAGTAAGGAACAGGCTTCCACAAAAACTAGCCACATTAAATACTGTGATGAACTCAAAACAGGTTTAAAGCAGATAATTGAAAAGAGTAGGATCCAATTTTTCCATTGCTCTGCTTTAAAATTTGAAAAACCACTCTCTACTTTTCTAGGCAGCCTATATACCAATGCCAGAAGGAGTAACAAATGCATCTACAGCCCTCTGGATAGTAGCAAAAGCACATGGCTGGCATGAATGTTGAATCCAGAGTTTTGTAAAGGTTTTTGCACTTCCAAGTAAAAGATTATGCATTGGATCTATCATGCAAAATGATACAGCATTGTAATAGGGAAGCGTAAGTAACACCGTGTAACGCACCCCATATCTTTTCTCAAGGCCACTTCTTTTTTTGCTGTCTTTCCATGCTTATGCTGCATGCCCACATGAACACAGTCACCATGCTCCCTAGCTATCCAATTTTCACGGTCAAACCCACTGTAGTCTGGTTTTTCACCAAATGCTGAAGTTGGGAAAGATTTCATGCATTTGAAACACCCTTTAGAAGCATTGTGAGCAACAAAACCTGCAACTTTCCTCATTGCAGGAGAGTCACATGAAACACATAGCAATGCGGCACGTATACGAATACTACCTGTTTGTAATTCAACTTCTTCTCCCCTCCATAAAAGCAAAAGTTCCTCAACAAGGGGCTCAAGAAAGGAATTAATGCTTTGAGACGGTTCCTTCGGACCAGGAATTAATCCACATACAATGATATTCTCTTGGTGGTACCGAATACTGCGGGGTAGGTTAAGTAAGGCCATAAAAATAACTCCAACAGCATATATGCTATGCTCGAAGGGTTCGAACCAATCCACATTCAAAAGTAAACCATATGAGTGTGGCTCAGAAAAAAATCCGGAATCTACAAAATCCTGCCACACTCTTCCATCGTATATATCTCCGTATACATTCTGAAAAGCCTGCCTTTTTCGCCAATGCTCACACGTTTCAGCCATACCTGGGCGAGAAATAATTGCAGTAATTGAAGAAATGATTGACTTGTAACAATAGACTTTGATTGGTTTATGCATTTTTTTATGGGACGATGTTATAACTTCTTTTAGTAATGGACTGTTGCACAAACCCCTCATTGATCGCCATGGATGTCTTGGAAATTTAGCTGAACTACACAATCTGGGCACACTTTGAGTACCAATGTGCTCATAGCAATCATCTATATCATATATAGCGAAGCACTTTCCACAACATACTAATCGCTTGAAATCATCACGGTTCAAACCAACTACCTTCTGTGCCTTGACAAATGAACTAGGAAAGATGTCAGAGATAACTTTCCTATTCTCTAACTCAGGTATGCTGGCAATTTGGCTGATTAAGAGAGAAAAAAAGCGAAGAAGAGTATTGAGGGCAGTATTTGAAACTTTAAACACAGACTGCCATAGGAGAAGAAAGAGGGTGGCAACCTGAACAAGCGAAAATTCTCTTTTATTCTGTTCATCCCTGTCATCATTCTGTTCACTGTCATCCGAATCACTCCATAGTTCAGGTCCGGAAGTACTACAATCTGAGCTCTAGAGAATTGAAAAAAAGAACACAATACAACTAGTTCGTCTCAACAATAGCAACAACACACCTCTGTATTAAAATCAAAATCTGCTTCAGAGTCTACCGGTTCATCTTCTTCAGAGTCAGCCGCTGGTTCATCAGGCATCCCTGAGTTGCTAGTAGTCTGCTGGCTCGCATTGCTGAATGATTCTTGACCGGATTCATCAGTGGTATCAAACTCAAACTCTTCTCCTTCGCGCTGGTGGTCACACAGATTGAAACGTACACGCTAGTGAGGGCAAAGACATCATAGTACCTATACCTCACGTAAATCGGAGCTGCTCTCTTCACATCCATGGCTGGAAATATCCCGATGATTATACCAAGTAGTCTTCGAAACAAAACATTTACAATGTTCACAGAAGCGCTTTGCGTGAGTTCTTTTTCGCTTGGTCTTCGGAGGATTGCTAGCCATCTCTTCAACAATCCTATTTGACCACTAAAATTCGATACCGCACGAACTAACTCCATTCCGTTCCACAAATTTTGGCGCGCTTTTCAACCAAAGTCGCGCTGTGTGGAGCTGTCTGCTAGCTGGCTGGACGGAGCTGTGTTTCTGAAACGAGCGAGAACGAAAATTTTGCCACACCGGTATGGCCAGACAGACCAACAAGAGACAAAGGCGGGGAAACGATCCGCTGCCGGTAAGCTGCCCTATCCCTGCCCTCACTACACTATAGCCGCTAGCTACGTGTTGTCCACCCTCGCGCGTGTGCTGCCATTTGAGGTCCCACAGCCTCATCCCTCTGTCCAACTTCCCCTTCTGCTGTGCATTAAATGTGTATATGTAACGCGTGTAGTCTCCCAGGCAGCGTGCATACACATGTATGTATAATTGTATACGTCCAAATTGGGCCACACTGCATCTGGTGCATGCCCAAGGCACACATGTTGTTCCCTATACTAAGAGCAGCTGTCATGTATCTTGCATGATGTCTATAGGGAAGACCCATTGCATGTATGCTAAGTATCATGTGACTAAGCCTCTTACATGCCAGAAAAAAGAAATGTGATCTTCATCGCCCTGTCATGTGTTATCAGGATATGTAGCACGTTTTTGTGTTATGATGCAATCTCTGGGTTTAATAGGTTTCACCTATTGGCAACTTTTATAGTGGGCGATCACACAGAGATGTGCGATCTAGCAATGATGCGAACGAAGAGTCTTTTTTTTGGCAGCCGGGAGCAACACTCCCAATATCAAGTTCTCCATTATGTTCCACACCACATCGTTCAACTTCTATAAATCTTCAATCAACGACCCTGCAATCTGAAAGCGAGTCAGATGAAGAAGTTCCTTTAAAAGCTACATTACAGGCAATTTTATCTTCACAAACGGCTCTACAAAAGCGGATGGAAGAAGTCCTCTGCCGTGTGAACTGTTTGGAAGAGTCTGTTAAGGAATCCTATGTTTCATCCTCTAGTAGTTGTGATGAAAGGAAGAGGAAAAAGCGTTTATCTTCTGAGCTATGTGTATGTTTATTATGCACACGTCTAATCACCTATATTTCAGTTTCTTTTATTTTTAGGGAAGGGTAGCAACAGTATATCAAGCTATGGATTCTGATGACCAGTTCCACTTGTCTGAAAGGTAACTCGGCAACTTCACAATGACTTTAATTACTTTGTATTGGTTAGGGGTGACTGTGTATGGAACAAGAGAGTGAAAACCAAGCTTCGGGATGAGATATCACTTTCTGATAAAGAAAATGGATATTCATTATCTGAGATAGATTGTGAGTTGATATTTTATCCTGTATTAGGTGTTCATGCTTGTAGTCTGCTAGTGTAGCTGTTATGTTTTTGCAGTGGCTATTAAACGCTATTTTGAGTCACGGAAGCGTAATCACCGTGAGTGTAAACCGGAGCACAAACAAAGAGTGAGTGCACAAGAGAAACAGAGGAAAACAAGGTCTCGACGTCAGCGGGTAAGTGAAATTATACTTTTGGTTGGTATTTTTGTTAATATATATTATATTATGATAACAGCTTTTTGACAGACGCAGAAAATGTGTTAGGGGATCTGAGCAGTGTTGGTGGGATAAGCTTTCATTAGAATACATGAGTTTTGAGTCTAGTGATGAAGAAGATAATATCACAGTCCATTCACTGCCTTGGAGATCCAAAAGTGAGCCTTTATTTGCTATTTTCATGTTCAGCTGCCTGGACATTATTTTTTACCAGAACTGAATGATTTCCTGGCTGTACTCGACAAAAGAGCAGATGAAAATCGCCAAAAGGTTAAACACCATGCAGCCGAGCGGAAAAGAAGACAACATGGACCAGATGCGGCTTCTTACCCTCCGGAAAACTCTCCGAAATGGACAATTAGCAAGGATTGGAAGAAAGGTGTGTAGGAACTCATACTATTCTTTGTAAAGCTACATGTGGTTACTTACTATGCAGACCATGTTCAAGATCAAGACACCACAGAGCATAATATGGACCTTTCAACTGAGGAGAAAGAACCTGAATAACTTTCCAGAACAAACTATTTTGTTATCATTTTAAGGCTGTAAAACTATTGTTGTTGAACTGAAAATATACTGTTAATTTACAGAAAAATTACTGAAAAAAACTTATAGTTTACTGAAGGATATACATCACCAGAAACTCTCAGTATATCTGCAGTACAAAAGTGGTTCCATATACTGTGGTGTACTCACAGTTTGCAGTGAGTGGACTGGTTGGTAAACCATCAGTCCACTCTTTGTAGTACTCACGATTTACTGTATATATACTGTCAGTAATCTGTCACGCTTCAAGCAGTGTGTGCGACCAGTTTTGGATCAAGGTGCAGCGGTATTCCCTGCTCTACATGCTCGGACGAGGACGACACCGACGCGTCCTCAATTCGTCGTGGGCATCGATCTACCAGGCGTTCTTAGTGCATGACGCTCCGCACCTGCGTGGCACAGCCCCGCCTCATCGCTGAAGATCGTGTAAGACGTGCCTAATACCAGGCACGTACTACTCGAGACTCTATCAAAGGATGGGACCCAGCGGACCCAACAGATCCCAGGCTACATCACCGAAGTCGCCGCGCGCCGCACTCATCCTCATCAGGCCGATACCCCGGGAGATCGGACTGATGGGCTTCACTCGCCGTCGGAATGGCCGAGGTTTCCACGTGCGACGTTACTGTGCAGTGCGGGGCAGGTCGTCAAAAAGGGGCAGGAGATCGGCATGTTTCATTTCGGAGGCTCTACGCACTGTCTCATCTTCCGTCCCGGTGTCAAAGTGGAGTTTGATCTCAACGGTCAGAAACCAGGCCTTCACGCCAAGAAGCTTCGGATCAACTCACTGCTCGCAACTGTCGCCAACCCTACCATTCCTCGGGACCATTATAGGTCGCAAACTAAGTTTTGAAGCTTGGCAACTTGAACAATGTAGCTCTTGAACAATGTAGCTCATGGTGAACTTTTGTAGAAAAGCTAGTAACTTACATACTATTTCATTACTTTTATAATACCTGCGGTAAAAGAGCGTAGGGCTGTGCCAGTCCTTCGATATTGAATGGCAGTAAGAAGTGAAATTTTCCTTCCACAGGCCACTGGCACATACACAGCTACCACAGGCCACCGGCACATACATAGCTAGATGGCGCTGTGGTGCCGCAGACAATACTACTTTCTCCCACAGCGTTGTTACCACTTGCTTCTCTGCGCCCGGTCGCTGCCCGGTCTCCCTTCCACGTGGGCGCGCCTAGTAAAAACTGGCGTGCGCATGCGCGTAAATTACGCGCGTGTCGGCGAGTGCGCACAGCGGCGCTTAGTTGTGCGCTAGTTTCAAGAGCAAACTGATTCGCTGCTCATTTTCGGTACTGCGTTATATTTTTTGAACCGGTTCTGTTGTCGTAAATGCTTCAGTAGATTCAGCTATGAGATTTTCAGTGTCTTTCACAAGGAGTTAACAAAAAGTCGGCAATCGTTCATTATTACAGCATAGAGACACAGTGTTACAGTGTTTAAAAACGATACATCATGTTGCTTGCACAGAAATAGCTAGAGTTTAGACTATCAATAAAGAAGTCCCTCCTAATCTCTCGGCTACCCGGCCCCAGGCTCTCTATAGGCACCCTCTGCAGCTGACACATAGTAGTCCTCGAGAGTGTTCTTGAGATATTCGAAAGTCGGGCGTTTCTCTGGCTCTTTGTCCCAGGTTGAGAACATGATGTTGAAGAGAGCGTCAGGACAGCCGTCGGGCCTGGGCATTCTGTAACCATCTTCAACCTGCTCTAGAACCTCCCTGCAGCATGGGTATGTGTGAAATGGAGATCAGAAGATAGAAGGGGGTGGAGGTTAGCAAGTGTATGTAGGTATTCTGTCTCCTCATCAGTGCCTGGTTTAGGTGTATGTAGCTAGCCCCATTACCCCCCAGAGCCAGCCCCCTTTTTCCTCCTACATACATAGCTACACACAGAATGCTCATGATTAGGAGAAGGTATTATAACGGATTTAGCTGCTCTTCCTATGGTTGTTTGTTAGAGTCGTCATAATGGTCATGTTCGCGGGGAGTATTCTAATGGCTTTTAGCCGCTCTTCCTACGGTTGTTTAGAGTCGTCTCCCACACCTGCAACATACACACACACAATATATCTAAGTGGCAGACACACCTGTTGCTCATCCCAGGGTAAGGCATGGAACCCTTTGTCATGATCTCGTACATGAGGATACCATAGGACCACACGTCCGACTTGATTGTGTACTGGTTGTACAGTGCAGCCTCCGGTGCCGTCCACTTGATCGGGAACTTTGTCCCTTCTCGAGGATTGTAGATGTCTTCCTTGATGACTCTGGCAAGCCCAAAGTCCGCCACCTTGCAGACACTCCCTTCGCCGATGAGGATGTTGCGAGCTGCCAAGTCACGATGGATGTACGAGTGCTCTTCCAAATAGGCCATCCCTGTAATAGAAAAATACACAAAAAGTGTATTACGCAAATGCAAAACACTCTGGTGCATGTAGTGGAAAGTAACGCCATACATTGTAAGACTATTAGTAAGTTAAAGAAATGCATTAGTAAGCGAAAGTATTTCACGCCACATTATTGTAAGACCATTTGTAAGTAATGCACACACATTATGCAAATGCAGAACACTCGGTTCGTGTGTAGTGGACTACACTGTATCACACCATAAGACCACTCTTCCAAGTATATACTCCTGTTGCGGCGTAAGTATTAGACTTGGCACATGTATCAGAGGGTGCGTGCATGTTCAGAGTACACGTAGAAGGTCAACCACTTTTATCATAGTACGCAGCATGCTCTGCACACGCAAGAAGTATAGGAACTGCCCCTCGAGATAACCTCTGCCATCATAATGTACCAAGCCTTGTTCCTCCGCCACCATTCCAACTCCTCAATCCCATGCAACTAACTAGAAGGCTGCTCTCTACTAACCTGAGGAGATCTGGGCTATCATGTCGATGGACTGGTGGATGGTGGCGTAGCGGCCATCTCCTCGTCTCAGGTACTCCAGGAGACTCCCGTGTTTCATGAGCTCGGTCACGATGTAGATTGGCTCCTCCAGGGTGCAGACGGCGTAGAGCTGGAGGAGGTTGGGGTGAGTCAGTCTCTTCATCACCTGAGCCTCCTTGATGAAGTCATCCACCTCCATTGTCCCTGGACACAGGATAGTGTGGGACTCTGAAATACTCTTGGAATTCAAATTTGTTACGATTAATCCATACAAGTATGTACTAGCTTTCTCACACAGGTATAGCATTTGTATGTTTGTTTCATATATTCTAGCTGGACCAGGTTTCCACGCTTACTTATTGCCGTGCAAGTAAGCGAATGGTATGAACCCCGATGAGTTTTAAATTCTATAGACAACCTTGGTATAGTAATTATTGAAATAGACAAGAGGTGAGATCTCGCTGTTGCTTGACTAGTTTCTATAGTGTCTGAAATCAATACATACCCAGGGCAGGCTTCCACTCTCACAATTTATTGTCATGCAAGTCAACAAGTTTTGCATGCTACCACCTTGGTGAGGTAAAGCTAACACCACAGTGTGGGCACCTTATAGGAACATTTTAATGTCTGGTGTGTCCTCACCTGTCTTGAGCGTCTTGATGGCTACCTGTGTAGTACCATTCCAGAGTCCCTCCCACACCTCCCCAAAGTTCCCGTGGCCCAGTTTCCTGGTGAACTTGAGCGTCGCTCGTTCTATCTCCCACTCATCTCTGGAAAAGACAGAAATAACTGCATACAGCTATCGTCTCATGCAACCCTCAGTCTTATGCCTCGATTCCATCCTCTCAAGATTCTTGGCTAGAGGCTACACCATCTCCTTGGCTCTTTTGACCCAACTACATTACACCACCCCATCATCTATTACTGGTAGTGAACTGTGGGAGGATAATTTTGGTTCTTTGCTTGGCCTTGTTAAAGATTTTATTTTGGATGTTTGGGAGCTAAGAAAGGTTAGGTTATACGGCGATAGTCCCTGTGTACAACAAACCCAGTCTCAGATTGCGTCTGGGGAGCTGCAGGGTGTCGCTGGTGGAAGGGGTGAGTTGAGGTGTCTGGGAGGTGAGACAGACACCTCATGTTCATATGGTGTATGTTCGTGTGTTAACGGTTCCGCCCATTGCTCTGGGTGCGTGGTCTATGGCCCTAGTGCTATGGCAGCCACCTGAGTATTATTATTACTGGTATTCCTAAATGACTATATAGATTTTGTGGAGGTAATTGCTTATGGTATAATCTTTTTTGAAAAGCTTTATTAAATCGCTCCGTTGGCGTCGTTCATGATTCATACTATATTATACTGGTAGAGCTGATTTTCTACCTTTTTTCCTCCTTTTCTCACCTATATATGCACTACGGCTATCATTCAAGTCTAAAGTCTCGCAATAATCAATGACGCACACATGAACATCTGCACATTTGCTCACCAAAATGGCTTGTAGTTGTTATAGTATAACTTTTATAATGTACCTGTACGAGAGACCGGCAGTGTTTGGTGCATTTCTGGGACAAGGGCAGGAGAGCGTCTGCGCCAGGCCATCCGTTTGAGTTTTATAGTGGGCTATCATGTCCTGTACAAATTGCAAAATACAACAGTAATTTCTGTAGTTCATTATTATACATAGTTATACATAGACGGAGAATGAGGCTAATTGTATTATTTGTATGAAGTGCATGGATATCTTCCTGTAACTTGATAAAGTGGAAATGGTGTAAATTTACCACACATGCGTACGTAGCTACCCCAAGACCAAGGTAATGTTACTGCACACCCACTTGCAGAGATCTGAAAGTGATTCGAGTCGCCACATAATAAGATCCGTCGTCAAATCTCCTAATTCGATAGTGTTTCACGCTCTCTCCGTCTCTGACGGACAACGAGAGAGAGTCTTTCTGAGATGAGCTGACTCGAACCAGGAATGTTCCGTTCTTGTTTATGTCGGCGAGTAACCATTTTTCTGCCTCTGCCCTCGGAATATCACCCCAGAACCAACTATATATGAGGTGGAGGGAGAGATAGAAGGGATGTAGTAGATGAAAAGAGAGAGAAACAGTGGGGGCTGATGGAAGGGAGGCAGGGAGCACTATATTTCACAGCTAGCCTCATGTGAACGAGTGAAAGTCAAGCTAATTTAGAATTTGTTGGGCATTCATAATCAATTAGGTGAATTGGATTCCAGTTGGGGCAAATCAACCAATCATTTGTATCTGATACTGCCCACCCATACCGCATGAATGTTGGATAGAATCTAAAATGCAGCTCGCCTCTTCTCATCAACAATTGTTGATTTCTAATTCACTTCAGCACACACCTTGACCAAAATGTTAGTGTTGTACAATATGCCTTAATTTCCTTTGCCTACTGTAGTCCTGCCTTTTTTTCACAAGCTAAATTCTGTGCGTAATAGATGGAATGTTGGGGGAATACACCAACTCCTGGGCATATGCATGTAACATGCAATAGTACTAGCTACACCCATGTAAAAGAGTCAGTACATGTATGTAGATACAGCCAAGTATATATGACATAATACAAAGAGTATGATGGCGCAGAATTGCTGAATTGCTGAATTATGTACATACGTTCCCTCCATCCATGACTACACTTACTGTAGTGTTATTCATAGCCTCTTTAAACATTGGACCTCACACCTATACACCGCCCTCCTCTCGCTCTCCCTCGCCAAATTCATTTTCAATATTACTGACACACACACACACACACACAGTTTGGCAAAGGGCAGGTTAGCCTCGTCCACAAACCCTCTTTCTCCGCACACAATTTGCAAGACATCATACAAAAATATGGTGGGCAGCTGTCAGGGCAGAGATCAGTATCCATGTATAATATAGCTACCAATTATGTATAATGTGTCTGAGAGGCCGTAGACACTATCTCTTCTGAGACATGCAATGTCTTTGTACTTAATATGTCACATTATTGCCCTAGCAAACAGTGATTAAATGACTAGTTAACCTTCTTGGGTTATACTTACCTTGAATAAGAAAGTATAATATCGATTTTCATGTTTACTGTTATGCAACATGATTTGGATGTGTGTTTCCCATGTTGACCATATCAATTTGGGTATAGTCTTGCACCAACGATGCACACAATGCCCAAGAACAGATGGTATGGTTCATTAGACCACATTTTTCTATGCGCACTGGTACGTTACTCTTGCTAATTGATTGCAGTGTACACTAGAAGATACTACCTTAATTTTATTAGCTATGCTGCCGTGTGTCTGGTCCAAAAAGGAAAAACATTGCAACACGTAAAGACAGTTTAAAAGATTGTGTTACGCATTTGCAGTACATTGACCAAACCATACTCGTGCTGTAATACCATACTTTAAGTGTCAGCTTGCATGAGTATACAACACTGTTTCCCGCGTCCTGCAGATTATATTAATAGCTACATTGCCGTGTATATATAATACTGTGTTTGTGAATAATATTGAGACAGACTAGTCCACAGCCAGAGTGGGAGGTTCCAAAATGTGAGCGTTGTAATCCAGGCATTGACGGTTGGGTAAGTGTAATAATAACCGACGCCCAGTACAAATTCACAATCTGTACATGCGTACGTGCCGTAGTCTTACTACATTCACATTCCACAAGGCTCTACCCTCTAGGTTCCAGGTCATTCCAGGAGATCCTTCCACCGTAACCACAACCAGTCTCAGCACTCACTCCTACACTTGTCAGCGACACACACTCACATGCATATGCACTGTACTGCATGCTTTAGTGCATAACGTTCCACACACCATTGATATATTATAATGCACTGAAAAGGTACTCTGGGTGCTATAGAATACCAACTTTTCTAGGGCATTCAAGCATGAAGGGTAGACCCAATTGGAAGTAGAGCCAGTACAGTATCTCAATTTGTAGGCCCGGCACAGATAAACAGGCCAGTGTAATCTTCTATCAAACTATGAATAGTCTATAATATTACACAGATTCACTGAGTTTTGTCTGCAGCCTATGATGGATAAAATCTGTGAATCATGCATAGAGTATATTGCATGCCACAAACAACTACTCTTGAGCTATGCTTTGAATCTAGCAAGACGAAAAGAAGAGCAAATTGGTACTGCAACATCATCAGGGATACTTTCTATCATTCATTGATGGATGCTGTTGTTCCACAGTAAAACGTGTGTTGTATTAAAGTATATAAAGAGAGAACGAAAACCAACCACTATTACTAACTTCCCCCCTCCCACCAAAACAAAACTTTAACACAACCACTTTTCAAGGGGAACCGTTTAGGGTAAACTAGGGTATTGACTCACTCTTCAGCCTCGTAGCTTAGTGCTTCAGCGACATAGTTCCTTGGAATGTATCCCTCCCTCTGGCTCTTGAGAGACTTGGCCATCCACCAGTCACTCTCCTGTACACCAACCACCAGAAGCCTCTCTCCCTTCTCAAAGCTCAAGTCCTCCTTTGTCCGTGCTTGATACGCGTAGCGAGCCACGTACGCCTTCTGCTCGTTGTTGGCTGTTGGGGGAGGGGCAGAGCCGGGGTCGGTGGAGTATCTTACCCCGGTGGGCGAAGTGGCACTCCCAGAACCGATGGAGTGACTGTTGCTAGTCTGGAGGTGAAGAGGCATGCCTCTGCCGGGAATGCTCTCTGGTGGCTTTGTGGTTACGGGCGAGGACAGCTTTAGGTTGGCTGGGGCATTGGGGTTCGATTTCCTGCCGCCGTTGTCGGTTTCATCAGCTGTCTTGCTGCTACAACAGCCCATGGTGGCTGGGCGTGCTGCTGGGTAGGGAACCTGATCATGAATCATAAAAGACGAAATGCGTCACTAAAGCCTACTCCTGCCGGTGGACCAAGCACCTAAACAAGAGTTAATTTCTACATGAGTTTATGCTATGTTCCTGGGATAATAAAATAGCTTTCTCAATGACTGTGTGTTCATTAGTGGAAATAAACGCCAGCTATTAGGCATAACAACACGGTAGATCGCTTATGGAAACACCGCTTGTGACTCTCTGCATCCATTGTTTACTCGCATCCCAAGCCAACTTATATAGCGCAAGCGAAACATCAGCGCATTCTTCGACAGTAGCTATCCGCCGTGCGCCGTGCACGCGGTTGCTGGAGCCCGGCCTACCCTCTCCGGCTCCCTGTACACCTGTGTACATAAAATGTAAAACTCACTTTCAGAAGATGTAAAAGTGATTAGAGGCGCTGGCGATCCGACGGCAGAGAAAGGGTGAGCACTTGAAACAGTTTGTGGGTGGGCTGCAGTGTCAGGAATGCGGAGCATTCGGGGAATTTACTCACACGCATGCGTAGTTTGTACTAGCCCCACCCTTTTGGTGCGCACTTATCAGAGAAAAAGATCCCGACAGGCAACTTGCCATGACAGAGTTGCACGAGGCGGCCTCTCTGGGGGACCTGGATCGTGTGGAGGAGGCTTTAAGGAGAGGGCTGGATCCCAACGAGGCGGACCCGGAGTGGGGCGACAGGACTCCTCTCCACATCGCAGCTTCTAAAGGGTCAGCTAGCTATATATAGAGCACCACCCTCGGACATAAAAAAAATTACTCGGTTGCACATTACAGCTACATAGTACCAAATAGGTTATTGGAGTTTGGAATTATAATCTCCTCAGCCCGTGCTTGCTTGCTGGTCAGATGCTGTGCTTCGTTGTTTACAGTGCATTTACACTTAGTAGCTAAGTTGGGTTTGCACAATTATTGTGAAAAAATCTGCATTGCAATAATAATATTATCAGGATTTATTATGGTTCGTTTTGTTTGCAGGTTCAAGAAGTGTGTGTATGTGTTGCTGCAGGCTGGAGCCAGTACCAATGCTGTCACCGCTGATGGCTGGACACCTGCTCACTTTGCCTGTGAAACTGGACAGGTACAAAAAAATCTGGCTTGTTTATTCGCTAGCTTTAAAGCCTAGGTGATAGAAACTTGTATTTTTATGATTTGAAGTGCCACAGTAGTGTGTAACGCAGTGTGTATATATTACCAAGATCCTGCTAGCCGCAAAGCCTAAGAAAGAGAAAGATTTCAAGTGCCTATTGTCCTGCATTGTGGGATCAAAGTTTCGACAATCAACTCAAAGGTGCTCTCTATTAACCCTTAGCAAGCCACAGGCATTATATATATATGCCCAGGCCAGAGCCTCTATAAGTCTATAAGAATTTATATATGGCTATAATACTAGGCGTTAATATGTTACATCAATTTCTGCTTATTTAACACTTAACCAGCCACTACACATAAATGCGTCCAGAGCCTCCATAAGTAGAAATTATATGGGCGTTTATAATACTAGGCACTAATACTTTATACATCAATTTCTGCTTATTTAAGCAGATACCGATGGCGTCCAAAGGGTTAAGGAGATACCCATGGTGTCCAAAGGGTTACTAATTGCATATGCAGGTGCAGTGTCTTCAGTGCCTGATATCAGGAGGGTGTGATCTGACTCTTCCAGATGACAGTTGTGACACTCCACTTCATGTAGCCACAGTATATGGACAGAGAGAATGCATTGATCTTATTACTGAGAGACTACATAACCAAAGAACAAAATAGGGCAACTCAAAGAACCGCTATACATGCAGTCACAGAAACATTTTCAGTTATACAAAACATGGGCCATGGAGTAATAAACATCTGATGACTAAGTGGAACGTTGTAGAATAGTTTATTGCAATGGTGGACTACTTTTTGACTGGCTGCAAGTCAAATTTGATGTTCTCTTTTTGAGTATGAACTTCTCTCAGTAGGCGTTCATCACGTTCGTTTGCTATTCTGATATCTGGGGTATAAAGTACGGGAAAAATTTATATTACAGTTAGTGTGTGTTTTGTCTCGTGTGTGTGTGTGTGTGTGTGTGGGTGTGTTGAGGGGAAGTGGTGGTCTTTTCTTCTTTCTTATACATAATTATACAGCCCCTGTCTGTTGTTCTGCTATACACATTCATGTACCTCTGTGTCTTCTTTCCTTCCCGAGGAGAACTGACTCCCTGATCCTGAGAGCTCTCTCTTTTCTCAGCAGCTCTGTCTCTCTCACCCTCACCTCTCTCTCTCGTCTCTCCACCTCTCCCTCTCTCGTCACTAGCTGCTTCTCTCTCCCTTGCAACTCACTCTCCCACAACTTCAGATCTGATCTGTAGTGTGCCGTGTGTGTATATAAATATACAGTGAAACGACCTGGGACACCTTTGGGACATTGAAAGTGTCTTTTATTCAGAGGTTTTTTTATTTGACACTTGTACTTACAGAACAGTACTGGCAGAACCTTTAAAAAGGTGTCCTTTATTCGGAGGTACAGTATAATAATGCACTAATGTAAAATTAGTATAGGAGTGTCCCTTACAATATAGAGAGAGGCGCCCTTTATTCGGAGGGTCCTTTTCAGAGGTTCTACTGTACAAGTTAATACGTAGTAGGCTGCACTGTAAACAATTTTGTACCTACTTTGACAATCTGGTTGTGGTGGTGGTGGTGGTGGCAGGAGTGGTAGCTGGAGGTCCCAAACCTTCAACTCTCCCCAGCAGTGTGGCAATGTCTGGCCGACGAGATGGCTGTGTGGAAACAGGAACACTGTATATACCTAATCCGAGCACAGTGAATCCAACTGAGAAGTCTGAATAAAGACGAATTAGGTGCAAGAACACTATGTCATTTAAAAGCATACACCTTTCGATATTATTCGCCGTTTACATCCCACATCTGTTCCATTAAAACCATGTGCTCTACTATTTCCTTTTATATATATAACAGTTGTTATAATAGTAAGCTGTCAATTATGCACTGTAAGTTTGCCGAGTATGGAGGTATTCTTCCTACTTTTAAATTTTGCCGTTTAATCACATTTATACTGTACGTAGTATTGTACCACTTCTAGGATACTAGTACCTCAGTTGCTAGTAAGCTGTCAATTATGCTCTGTAAGTTTGCCGAGTAGTAGTGAGGTATTCTTCGTACTTTCCCTTGCAAAACCTAAGGAGAAAGAACAAGGAAGAACATTATATAATCCTTATTGGCCTACAGTAGCTGCAATCATGTATCTAGCTATAATAGCGAGTGCAGGAATATGTACCTTAGCTGCTAGTGCCTGCTGGTCTCTGGCAGTAAAGGGCGGCGACAGGGTGCAGAGTTCGTGTATGAGACATCCGAGGCTCCACAGGTCTGATTTCTCATCGTAGGCCTTCTCTGAGAACACCTCCTGGTGAGTATATCACAGTGGTCATCAAAGGTAACGGGGCTGTATATGTACATTAAGACTATAAAAGCGGAACCCTTATACTGGTCATTTCCATCTTTGGTATCAACATTTCAGTACTGTCAGGATTATGATGTGTCTTTGTGTGTGTAGCCTTTGAGGCTAATACTGTTAGGTACAACATAAAGGCCTGTGTACTGTTCTCTAAGTTTGACATTGGAAAAGTTCTTGCATGGATCGAGCGAGAGAGATTAACTTTAACTGCATTCTTCGTTGCGTAATTTGTCCCCAACGATGTTTAAATGCTAACATTGAACGCCTTTTTCGTATGTACAAAGGATTAACATCTCCCCCCAGCTACTACACCATTACATTACTATAATATACACACGTGTGAGTTTGGACAAGGACATTAGCCTCACGGGAGACATGTAGTAGGGAGTTCCGATAAAGGTCTGAGCCAGACTAAAGTTGTGGTGGAGGATTCTGGCCAGCCCAAAGTCCCCCAGCTTCACGTTGCCTCGACTGTCCAGAAACACATTGGCTGGCTTCAAGTCCCTGTGCAGTACCTGGTGAAAGAGCAAGCAGAAAGTTGATACGTACACATATTATCACAGAAGTCACCAGTTTGCTAGACAGTCGAGCTAAACCTTTCGTACTTTTCGCTAGCAAGTGGAGAGAAAGACACCCAAACCAATCACCTCAATACTTGGACTATAGCTGGGAGTGTGCAGTGAAAAACTGGTTGTAAATACTGTATGAAAACTGTAGCATTTACTCCTGCTTGCCAAGAATACAGGAGAGCCTAAAATACAGTAATAACACACAACCTTGTGGACTCCATCTCTCTTCTTGTGGCACTCCCGCAGAGCCAGGAGGAGCTGATGCAAAACCTTCACTACCATACTCTCTCCAACAAGGCTCTTCTCCTCCCTGTGTTTCTTTATCACTGACCCCAGATCACCTCCCTAGGGTTCATGTTACATTACATACACAAAGAGAACAGAATTGAAATTGAAACAGAACACTAAAGTTGCACATTACGCACATTTAAACTTTAAGCTGCACTTTACACGACTTCTCATTTTTCCTGAACATTCTCATGGCACTCTGCACAAAGCACTGTATATAGCTACCCAACTGTGTTTTGTGATGTCACTTTCCCGGACTAGAATGGTGACCGCATAATTTTGCGCTGCATAACATCTAGGAGGCTAAGTTGGTTTTGCTACCTTTTATACGCATTATTGTCAGGGGGGAAATCAGAAACTCTCATTTCGCAATGGTTTGGCAAGTGCAGAGGTATGTATTAAGAAAAAGGCACTCAACAATGCTAACAGTTTAACTACATAGCTACATACATTTAGCTTACCTCACAGAATTCCATGATGATGTAGAGAGTGCAGTTCTCTCTGTCAATGATTCGGTCGTGATAGCGGACTATGTGCGGATGCCTCAGTTCTCGTAGCAAGTTCACCTCTTGCACGAGCAGCTGCTTCTCTTTCTCGCTCATCCCTCCGTATCCAACCTCCTTCCATACAAACACCTGTACGTTGTAATTGTTTATCATTCTGCTGCTGTGGGTGGGGACTTTGATTATGAGTCTAAGGCTTGTGTCTCAATTCTTTGGTATGCCTACACATCTATACATAGCAGCATATATTAAATCTATGATAGCAGTCTCGTTAACTAGAAATCTATTGCAAACACATGCGTATCTAGCTACGATTTATATACCTGCAATAGTTGCAGCATAAATTACCTTTCTATCGGATTTTCTCGACACCTTTTTGCAGGTCCCGAAGGAGCCAGTTCCAATTGTCTCGAGTATTTCGTACTCGCTTAGCTTTGACGAGTTTTTTGCCATGCTTAGCGTCTTGTGCACAGCGTGTTTCGAAACCAGCGGCAAAACACAGGAGGGCAAAGTTCAATGCGCATAACCACCGCGCATGCGTGCGCATACTATACAACTACTGTGCGTTAGATGCGCCTACGTAAAAGGGCCTGTTTCTAGATTGAATTTTCGTGTTCTTCTAGATGTCGAACACGCACGTGAACAAAAGAACATCCAGACAGAGCATTTATTGAAGCATGTGACCTCCGCCTACACTGAAATTATCATTGAAACAAGTGGATGCAGTAGCTACCTATGCTACCTCTAGCTACCTCCAACTGAAGTTTGTTGTTGCTCTGAATGGCCAAACTCTGCAATAGTTGTGAGTATCCTACTGAAAGTGACAGCTAAATCTGAAAGGTGTTGTGTTTTTATTGTGCAGATCCACCACTAACCGTGGTAGGCAACAGAGTCCTTCAAGCAGAGGTATATGAATGCACTATATATGGCCATTCATGAAATGGTTGGATACGTGACTCTCTGTGTGTAATGTGTTTAGACAGATGCACAGAAAACTCCAGTGGCAGTTCACCTGTATCAACAAGGTACTCACGGATATGGTGGAATTACCTCACCTATAACAACACAACCGGAAAAGAAGGTGAACAAAAAACACAAAGACTCGGACTACTCCAGAATGTTATTTTTTCCTTTACCAACAAGGGTGAGAAACGGCCAGTTTTGCCAAAGATAAACATATTTCCAAAGAAACCAGACAACTACCGATGGTACTCCCTGTTTGTCCTTTTCTGCTCTTGCTTTTTGTGCGGGCTTGTTGCTCTCATTTACAGTTTCAAGGTTAGTATGCACATACAACATCAGTAAATGTGGGATTCCTTTAGTCACAGAGTGTGCTGAGATTATGATGTACTGACTGGCATTGTAAAGAAAAAAGAGAAAGAAGCAACCCTTTTTTTCGCAAACATGAAACATTAATCTTGATCATAGTGTCTAACGTAATACAATCACTGGCAGTTTTAGAGAGAAAAGTTAAGCCCTGATTTCTATTGCTCCTTCTCCCACACTGTGCCAACTATCAAAGAGTTTTAACTGAGTGTCTAATCTTAACAGTTCGCAATGATAAAGATAGTTATGTTGAAAGCTAGAAGTTGTATTACGTACAATGTTATTATAGGTGGATGAAGCCTACAAAAGAGGTGACATAGTTGCTGCCCGCTCAGCCTCAGAGAGAGCCAGGAAATGGAGCTACTTTGGAGTTCTCTGTGGAATCATGGACTTTGTGATCATGGCAGCAATTTGGTTGATCATCTTGTACGGCGTCTGGCGAATACAGCAGTGAAGGCTAGCTGATGATTAAGATAGCCTTTGTGTCTGTCAGTGAAGAGTTGACTTTGAATTTTTATACCTCAATGTTTATATTATACAGAAATCATTGTTTGAAGACATAGTTGAAGACAAGCCAGTAAATTATTATGTGAGGGGGTCAGGGCACCCAAAGGTTTCAGACTCAAAAAATACAAAATGTTCAATCACGGAAACTGCCTTTTATATATTATAACATGGTCTGCTCATTTGTCTCCGTGAATGTGGGTGTTTGTGGTTTTTGTTTTATGTCACTATATTATAGTTCAAGCCATTGCTTTCACAGAACTGTTTCAGAGAGAAATATTTCACTCTTTTATTTCCCATTTGTTGCCTTATAGATTTTCATAATTATTAATTCGTAAATATAGAGCACGATAAACATGAAAAGTACAGCATTTAGATACTCACACGTTTACAGTAAAAAAATGTTGTAAACTGTTCACTAATCTGCCAAATCATAGTTAACAAAACAAGCATAGTTAATTATGACACGTAAGGAGAGGTTGACTTTCACTTGACCGACAGAAGTATTGACCGATGAGTTCTTTTGTTCGCAGGCAACCTTGTGGAAGTTGTTTTCTGGCTACAATAAAATAGGAGGCAAGTGTAATGATATACAAAACTGGTAATCCAAGAACAACAACGAAATTGAAGAATGAGGATGCTCTCCACGTGAAAATGCTCGAAGCATTCAAAAAGGTCCCAATAATGGCAAAGACACACAGAGAGAGTAGAACAAAAGCAACACCATCGAGAATGTAGTGTACTTTAGTGCGCTGAGGATGAGTAAATGCAACAGAAAACCCGAGCATGGTAACAATAGCCCCAAAAACCATGATAGAAAAGTATGATGTAAACATGATTAAAACTGCCATAATCGCAAAGCGTGAAATAAAGAACATCCCCGAAAAGAACCTGTAGTCCCTCGTGTTATTAGTTCCGTCTTTGTAGTGTCCTTGGAAAACGTCCATGATGATTCTCAGCTTAGGAGAGTTGCATTTGGTCTTATTTAGAAACTTCTGGAAAGTTTCAAGTGGGTACAAGAACAGAAGCAAAGCTGGGACCAATGTAAAAAGAATTAAGAACAGCAAGGCAAGAAGTGCATATGGAAGGTGTTCTTTGCCAAAGTATTCGACATCACCAGCTAGAAGAAGGTAAAACTTGTCACTCATTTTGTTATAGACGTGGTAGAGAGGTGTTGGTGACAAGAGGTCGAGAGAGACGCTCTGCATTTTCATGGCTGACAAATAAAACAGTGTCGCAAATGACTTTAGTAGTTGAGTTTGAATGTTTAGATGTCGTATACATGGCCTCAAAATCAGAGAAAAGGGTCTCCAGAGCGTTACCGCAATAGTATTACCGCGACTGTGTAGTGACACAAGGGCAAGTGCAATGAGTAGAAGCACAAGTGGGTAAATTGCTACGAGATAGTCGAGTGCCAATGCCTGCAAAATGGTCATACTCGGATGCAGACAAAATGGTTGATACGATGCCCGAAAAATATCAAGATTCCAAAAGCTTAGTGCACTTACATAGAAACTACCCCAAAGTTTAACACTAGTAGAATCTTCCTCACTTGCAATACTAACCAGGCGAATGATAATGGGCGCAGAGAGAATTTGAGAATAGAATACTATTCCATGTAAATATGGAGAGGCAGCACTGACGTGGAAGAAGCATATAAAGAGACAGTTAAGATGGTCAAGGGACCAAAAGCAACTCCGACGTACTTGAGCCAGTTGAGATGGTAGTCAGTGCATTCGACACAGTTCAGTGAGTATGAGAAAACAGGAGGCGCAAATCCTTTTACACATTTGCCACAGAGCTGGCCCTCTCTGTTCAGACCAGCGCACATGTAGTCATTCAGTTCTGATATGTTGCATGGCAGTGGGTAGTAGGTTGAGAATGAGAGATTATAAGCGTGAAATGAAAACAAGCAACTCCCCACAACCTCCCTCTCTAGCGGCGAACTCGCATTGGGTGATGTCGTCATGCAGAATAAAAACTCTCCATCCATGGCTGCTGTGTCCCTTCCATAAAATAAACTTCGTTATGAACCATGAGCCCATTAGTACACCTGCTGCTGCTATCATTTGTTTCAACGTACCATGGTGGGCACATTAGACTGTGATGTGACACGTTTTCGTCATCATTTTGCAGATGTAAATAGCGAGAGCAATTTTTGTTTCTCATCAAATCCATCAGATTCAGATCGAGAGCCTGAGCAGTAACTAGTACAAAGACTGCTAGTAACATGGTCGGTAGCAGGACTACTGTTGGCAATCGCTGTATATTCAAATCCATTGTAATATGCACTCCCCTTTGCCTGAGATATATGAACCACTTTTATATGCTAGAAACACGTGTTTTTCCTTTAGAAAGTAAGAACGTTTACTTTCAATATAACAATAGCTGTGAATTCATTCTTAACCAACCTGTCTAAACACGGTCAAGAAGACTTTCAACAGGCAGGTCTATATCAACCCATAGTAAAAATCTTGGTTGGATAGTGAGAGACATCTATATATTTTGTTTCACTTAAATACTCTAGTCAACAATTATTATTATTTTACACCAGACGTTTCGATTGCAGTCTGCAATCCTCTTCAGTGGTGAAATGAGCTTATATTATACAACAGGTGAACACCACTACTTGTTCGATAGGAATGAGTAGTTCTGAGTTGGTGAAAGCAAACCAAGACTGTTTTCTATAGCAAAAGGTAGGAGTTGTAAAGGGTGGTGACACATGATTAACATCCAGGCAGCCTCTGCCATCATGGTGAAGTATTTTGGCTATGGTTTTTGTTTTTATGTCACAATGAAGATGTTGCTACTAATTGGCATGCTGGTATATACAAACTTACAACAACATAAAACATTATTGCTCTACAACTAAGTGTTTCTATAGTAGACACACATAATAATTATGTTAACTAAGCAATGCTTTTGAGGAGGTGTTGTTGCTCTTGATAATTAGAATAAACCGCTTTCAGCACATAACATCCAAAGCGTTGTGGAATCCTTTTTCGTACGAACATCCAGTAGCACACCAGGCAGACGATGTATACGAGAGGCAGAAAGAAACTTAAATAACCGTAGTATCTTGCTACTTGCGAGGCAATAGAGTTATGAGTGCCAATAAAGTAGGCAATTATAGTGAAAAATAAGAGTGACATTAAGAGTAGGATAATGCAGTCAAAGCCATAGTGCAATTTTGTTTTCTGAGGATGCAGTATTGCAACACCGAATCCTAACATTGTCAGAATTGTGCCAAAAATCAAGACAGAGTACAATGAGTTGAGTATGACAAATGTGACCATTAAGACAAAGCGTGTCAAGAAAAATACACCGGAGAAAAATCGGTAATCTTTAGTGTTGTTTGTACCATCCTTGTAGTTACCTTGAAAAACATCCACAAATGTTCGGAGTGTGACCGAGTTGCAGTTCATCTTGTTCAATAATTGCTGAAAGAAACGAGATGGATAAAAGAATAAAAGCAACCCAGGAAGCAGGGTGAAGATGACTAGCAAGACCAGTGCAAGAAGGCCGTATGGGAAATGATGTGGACCAAAGTATTCCACATCACCAGCTAAGTAAAGATGGAGTTTTTTGCTGATGGTTCCATCTGGATAATACAGGAGAGTTGGTGACAAGAGATCAAGAGACACGCTCTGTACCTTCATGGCCGATAGAAAGTACAGTGTTGCGAATGATTCTATGAGTGATGTTTGAATGTTGAGATTGCGAACACATGGCCTCAAAAAACGTCCGAGAGGCTCCCAGAGGGCAACAACAAACTTCACGTTTCGACTGTATAGGTTAATAAGAGAGTATGCAACGAGTAACAAGGCGAGGGGATACAGCGCTATAACATAGTCAAGTGCCAGTGCTTGGACAACTGACATATTTGGGTGGAGACAAAACGGCTTATAAAAATCTCGAAGTATGTCCAAATTCCAGATGCTCAAAAAACTTATATAGAAACCTTCTGCAAATTTTGTGCTCTCTTTAGCTTCGTTGTATCCGTGAGTGTTTTGGGCCATCCTTACTATTGTTGGCATCGATAGTATTTGGCAGTAGAACACAAACCCAAAGAGGTATGGAGAGGCAGCACTGACGTGGAAGAAGCATATAAAGAGACAGAAGATGGTCAAGGGACCAAAAGCAACTCCGACGTACTTGAGCCAGTTGAGATGGTAGTCAGTGCATTCGACACAGTTCAGTGAGTATGAGAAAACAGGAGGCGCAAATCCTTTTACACATTTGCCACAGAGCTGGCCCTCTCTGTTCAGACCAGCGCACATGTAGTCATTCAGTTCTGATATGTTGCATGGCAGTGGGTAAAATGAGGTCCCTACACGGTTGTCATAGGAAAGTAGGCAGCTCCCAATAACATCTCTGTTTGCTCTGCTTGTCTCATCTGAAACCGTCATACAATACAGCGTCTGTAGGTATGTTTGGCCTGTGTTGGGCTGGGAAAGTATTATGGAAGAAAAATCATTCCCGCCTTTGCATGAGCCTTCTGAATCACTGTAATACCATGGAGGACACGTCATATACTGTGTGGTGTCTTTGGTTAGAGTGCCAAATTCAGAATGATTTCCATCAGATCTTGTAAAGGTGCTAGAAAGATTCCCGTGAGTGAGGTAGGGCTTGCAATCTTCGTTCTGCATGTTGCACACCTTAGATGCATCTAGTGCTTTTGCACAGTGAACGAGAACCGTAACAAGTACCAACTGCTTCATCTTAACCATCAAACAAGTTATGTAGGCCATTGCAAGAACACTTTGTAGCTAGCTACTTACCTTGCATTCTGTTTTATAAGCACAGCATGCAAGGACATGTGATGTCTTGATCTTATCAGATTTCTGGATATTGTTTGTTTATAGCTAGTCAGTTTCCTTTTCACCATGAGAAATAAACATAACAAAACACAGCAAAATTATAATTATTGGTGACTGAAAATGTGGTTATTATTGACTGATTTGTGTCGGAATAATGGGGGCAATGTCTGTTGATTATCATCAGTTTTACACTGTAGTTTTCCCTACAGACACTGTGAACTAATGATAGCCACATTGTAATGTTTCGTGCCGCTCTTTCTGTTTTTGCTTGCTATTGGTATAGCTTCCTCACAGTTACGTAATGATGATGTCGCCTCTGAAACCACACCATTTTGATTCAGAGGAACAGACGGCTCATCCGATTGTGAAGTCACTCTTTGAATGAGAGGAGAAGGCTTGTGCTCTACTACTATCGAAGCTGGTCTTGAAAATCCTCTGTGAGTTAAAGATTTTCCCGCTCCAAATTCTCTTCCGCTATTCTCCAAGCTGGACTGCTGCGTGGTAAACTGGTGGTTGTTTGACTGGGTGAAACTTCCTGCCTGTGAGAAGCTTCCAGAGGAGATGTGAGAGAAAGTTGTGGTGGGAGACGGCATGTCCTCTTCAGCATTGGAGTAGCATTCGTGAGGCACATGAACATCCGTTAGCTTTAGTGTCTGCATTATTAAAATTTGTCAAACAAAGCAACAGTTCTATAGCTACTTCTGTTGAGAGCCACAAATGGATTGTCTACTTAACATCGATAACTAGCGACCCTTTACTACTAGTGTACAGTATATTATTCTGTACTCTTTATAGGGCTCTATATTATATAACTGCAGTGATAAAAGCTGTAGAGGCAGCAGTACGCAAGCTGTACAACAGAAACCCCCAAAAATAAATGGGGCAAGTGGTACATGACATTAGCTAGTACAAGTGCTGGTTTCTTCCTATAATTTTTGTAAGGGTACATATTTTCATGAACACTAAAGAACATGGCTCTGTTTAGTTTGGTAGCTATAGTTACATGGTCTTGCCTTGTATATTTTGAGCTCTCCCTCGAGCTCTGTGAGTCTTCTCTGTAGAGTGCCCACCCTCTCTTGCTCAGCTGTACCGCTCTGCTGTCCGAACCCCGACCTTTGCAGTTTTATGCTGTGAGCACCCGTCAAATCTTTCATCATTTTATCTCCATGTGGATCACGGTAGTAGCCTACCATCTGGGAGATTTTATGGAGAGCAAAAAAGTTTTAAAAGTGCTATAAGGAATCCATATTGCAAAGACTTCTGAAAGTGTGATAACTACAATATATTCACACTCAAATTCTGCCTTGTAGCTAGTACTTGCAACAGCTCACCTTTGGAATGAAGGTGAGTCCCAGGAAAATGTAAGTCGAGAGTAGAAGTCCCGCTGAAAAGAAGGCTTCGTTGAGATTCTGTAGGTTCCCCGACACAAACGTCACCAGCATCATAACAACGACCACCAGACTCGACACGTAGACAATGGCTGTAATGTATTTAGAGTCGTTGAGGATTGAGATTTTGACTTTTCGTGTTCTTATGGCCAGCACAAGGCCGACGAACTGGAGGAGGCCGAGATAGCTGAAAATAAAGAGGAGGTAGTAGAATGGAGCCTTGTTTTCTCCACCATAGCACTGCCAGGCATGGTAGTTGATGGTAACTCCAAGGTCCTGTGTGTTTTCATGTTATAGGTTCAGAAGTTAACAAACATTCTGGGGTGTTTGTGTTAGGACACCCACGTCATTAATCATACAGCAAATGACGGGGAAAAATGTTACACATTGATTCAAACAGAGAGCTTAATTCTCATAAAAGCGTCGTATAATGCCCACTTGGAGCAGAACATGAAGTCGGCATTCGTCACCGAGGAACAATACCTATCATGCCTACTTACTACAAACCAATGCTGACTATATATGCACAAAACAACACCGTTTACACTATCACTACATCAGCAACCCATCGTTTTCCTTTCAGTTTTGTTTACTTGAAAGGAGTGTTTGTTGTTCTGTGGGCTTTGAAACTGGCGCCAGTTTGTCTTACTTTCAAAACAGCCCCAAAGTCACATGATAGGGGATAAGGCCCCAGATTATAGCTACAAGCTGATAGATCGTGTGTTCTGGCAGGGCTATCAGATGTTACCAACATGTCTGCCTATATAATATAGTACACACCTAAAGGTGGTGGAAAGTATGTGTGTACTGGTGTACGTAAAACCTGGCAAAAAGCATATGGCACTACACTCTCTTAAGGTGCGTGCACAAGCACACCACAGAGCTCTTTCCCAGTAAAGAAAAAGCTGCACAGAGTAGCTACACCGAGATTATACCCTTCGGCCACCTTTTACACACACTTTTATCCCATGTTAACTTGTAATTAAAGAGTATAAGCTGTCTTAGATCGAAATAATGCACACGCTAGAAAAAAGAAAAAGGTTAGGAGAAGTATTTATGGCCTCTTAAAAGGTGAGAGTATTTCACTCCTATGCCACTAAGAGTCACGAAACGTTTACCATTAGCCATACTCACATCTTTTCCCGACCCGTATTCGTCGCTGGGAAGCAGAGCTGGGTTTGCTCTGAAAGCAACAGTCATTACTGTCAGCAGGAGGACCCCAACTCCTGTTATTAGTGCAACTATCATCACCATATGCCAGTCCTTCACACCCTGCATACAAACGACTTGAATAGTTATTACGAGGGCGAATTTAGAAAATGTTACTAAACATGGAAACCTAATTTCCATCTTTAGTAACATTACTAAGTTTAGCCCTTACGTAACTGACACACCAAATGGTGGAAGAATAACCTAAACATAAACTACTCACAATTTGGTTCTTCTTTGCACTTGGATTGTGGAAGATCTTGTAGACTCTTCCCATCTTTGTGAGGATAGTGCCATATCCAAAGCAGTAGGCAATGGTATTCACCCATGGCTGAATCTGAGAAGGAAACAGTGCGTCACTTATAGGCATTTTAGGTAGATGAGTCTGAAAGGGCCTCAGTTGCTGCATCATTGCTGAGACATGTAGCTATGAGGGAAATATAGATATTATGCAATTCTACTGGCTCCATAGCTAGGTGTGTGTGTGTGTGTAGTGTGCATGTGTGTGTGGGTTTACTGGCGCCAGCATGAGTACAAAACAAAGCTCAAGTTACTCTTGGGACATTTCTCAAAAGTCGGGGCTCACGTTGCATCTGTAGGTGTTGACCGCCTCTCCGGTGCGTGGTAGGACGCGGATGTAGATGGAGAGGAACATCATGAACGACCCCACAATCAAGAAATAATTAATGCTGGGGCTCGTCAGCTTTACAACCCTAAGATAAATTTTTGGTATTAAAAATCTCTTGATAGAGTGTTATTTAGGTAGTTTTCAAGCTTTCTACCACACACACAGATAATGTTTGTTTTGGCCACACCTCTCTGTTTGCTCGGTAATTAATTTTTACAAGAGAGTAGATGGAGTCTCATGGGTTGAAGATAAAGGTGGCTAGTATCCAATAATGCATGGTTTTGGGTGTAGTTGTGTCATTTTCTTTGTCCCATAACCTGATGCAAGCACATGCAGGTTACGCGTAATGACATTCTAAAGGTGCACAGTGTTCACGTCTCCAGGCATGATGCGTGTGGTGTGCATATGGAAGGGGATACTCCCACACTAGCCCTTGCATACACGCGAGCACCCATATGTGGCTACAAGCTGATCAGCAAGCAATTAGTCACATTACACAAACTGGGGTAGCGTGGCTCGGGTTACTACTAGACATGTAGGAGGAGGTGTCCGAGGTATTTGCTTTCACATATGTGATAATAACAAACAAGTCAACGTAATCCTCTGTGGAGGCTTTATGTATGTGCATAGTATATTTTGTGTTATAATAGCTACATAGTACCCTGGCTTCTAGACAACTGGGCAGCCGACAGTAATCGTATTCTGTCTAACTCGTTGAAAATACTGTGTTTGCATAGGAGGATGCATACCGTGTGTTTCTGTACTTGACGTTGAAGATTAGACAGACAAATGTGAAGACAATGCCGACTCCAGCGATGGTGTAGTAGGTAGCAGACCAGGGCGAGGTAGAATGACACAGTCACATTTCGGGGCGTACCATCCGGCGTAACTCCATCTAAAGGTGCAATTTTATAGTCAAGATACTGTTGCATAAAGTATTGCAGTGAAGACACCTTCTGCTATATATAGTTATCACAGCTTGCCATACGTCACTTGCCATACACAATCACTGTGTTTGTATGGGGAATAGGAAACCTCTCTGTGCATGTAAGGGATGGTTCTATATAGGACTGCCTATGTATCCATGGATATGTCATGTGTGGCAGCCGCTCACCTGGAAACACGGTAGCATTGCTTTCTTCTGGAAGATAGACAAGGTCACCATTTCCTATGTCGTACTCTGCAATCTTTACTTCGCTTACATCACCGGTGATACCTGTGTAATCATGATTTGGTTTGTCACGCAGTTTTAGCTACACTTGTGTCCAATGAAAACCTGAGCTTCTGTATTGTAGCAAAGTTACAGTTGAAATGCGCCTTGCACCTTCCTCATTGAAGGTAACTTCACCCTGCATAAGACAGTGGAACCACTTATAAAGGACGCCCAGAATAAATGACACCTCTCTAAAAGGACGTTACTTGCTTCGGTCCTGTAGTGCTAATACTACCTTAAACTCTGAATAAAGGAAATTTAGTCATAATGTGTCTATTTTAGCTGCAGAGGGTTTCTTGTGCTGTAATTTCAGAGGTTGCTCTTACCGAGACGCCTACAAAGTTTGTGTTCAAGAGCTCATGCCTGATGCGACACCCGAGATAAAAGTGTGAGTAGTTGAAGGCTCCGAGATTATCGCTGCTGCTGGCCGTGGCACCGCAAAAGTCCGGAATCACGTCAGCGTCCAGTTGGATTTGGGAGAAAGTGTCGACTTTATGGAGAGCCAGCGCCAGTGTCCACACTGCGTCGTAGGTGAGTGGAGCAAGGAATGAGTAGGAGTCACAGCTGGTTTCCTGGTGTGCCGTGTAGGTCTCCTCTAACAGCTGAGAGTAGCTCCGGTGGAACTGGTTATAAGACTGTGTGTCAATTGTGTGTGGTTATGCAATGAAGAAATTTTCAGGATAATGATATATAATGAAATTTTGATCCATTGCGTTTTGTTGAGAATCACGACTGCTGTTTACTCTGCTGTGATGTTCATGTCTAAGGTTATAACAGGATGACAATGCCTTTTTGCTGAGGTGATTTCAAAGTTAAACACCACCAAGTGTACTTTTCTTCCGGGTGGAAGCCATAGTAATGATAAGTACAGTCAATACATTGCATGGTCACTGAAGCCAACAAATACTGAGGTTGGCATAGTCATGGGGGCCCACAGCAACTTGGATAGCTTTCCTAACCTCTTATTTGAAGCAAAATGCATACCTCAGCGTTTGCATTGCTGAAAGAAAAACATTATTTAGGAACTACTTACTATTCCCGTGTCAGATGTGGCGTCCTTGTCTGATGGCGTGGGATACACAGCGAAGAGCAAAGGAATACTCCAAGACACTGGAAATTTGTTCATCTGTGCAGTTTTCACTCCCTGTGCCTATCGAATGAGGTGTTTTCCACCATCCAGAGTCGTACCATCCGTAGAGAATCCACGTGTAGAATGGTATACTGTGACCCCTATGATAGGCCTGGTAAAAAGAGAATGGATTAGTTATATACGATTGAATATGATTTAACTACACAGTGAAATCTCCATAATTATGCCTATTTATAAATTCGGATGATTTTTAATTTTTGTTTAACTACAGTGAAAGCTTAGATAGCTACGTACTACAAACTGATAGGTAATAATTTACTGTTTGAGCTCACTGCAAACTGACAAGTGACTATACTAGATAGTGAAACATGACAAACCAGATTTACCTCACATAGAATTTCCCTCGCCGGTGCGGGATTGACGTTAAGAAATATTATTCGATAATCATCTTCTTCACCCTTTCAAAAAAAGTGCAAAATGATGCCAATTTAATGTTGTTGCATACACAATATATGTAAGCTTACCAGAAGATCTGATACACTTGAAACTGAAGAGGGGAGGAGTTCTCTGTGGGCTACCGTGATATTGTGCTGCTGGAAGTTGCTGCTGAGTAACGTTAACGTCTGGAACGTGTTATAAACACACCAGTTGACGACGGATACTCATGTGTCATATTTGTGTGATATGTCGTTGATTAAGGTTCGGTTTCCGCCCATGCTCGGGGTGCATGTCTGTTGGCCCTATGGCAGCCACCTGAGTATTATTATTATTATTAATGTTTCTTTGCAAAGCAGCACAGAGGTCTCTGCCAGGTTGAGGTCCGTATTCACATTATGTGTGATGTAGCACGGCCCGATGGGAGATGATGAGGCTATATACAAAGTATGCATAGACCTTTTCTCAGCCTGGATACAAAATCACGACTCTGTGACTGTGGTTTAATGCTCTGTGATGAACCACTTACATCCTGAACCACTTACATCCTGAAACATTGTCTCCTTCCCTGTTATGACCAGCACTCTCTTCCACTGTGACTCAACGGCGAATAAGAGCATAGCTGGCACTAGTGTTGACTCCTGCGGGTACAGCCGCAATAGGTTGGGTTTGGGGGTGGATCCTTCACCGACTTCAGTCTCCAATGGAGAGGCCATTATCTGACAACAGTTGGGTAAAATTTCTGACAAAACAGTTGAGAAACTATTTCTAATGCAAGAGCTTGGGAGCCTGAGCAACTGAACTAACGTTTTTGTTGAGAGGCTACTAGCTACTGTAGCTACACATCATCTTGGAGGACTTCATTTACTAACGCAGAGCACAGCACATCACTTCATGTTGAGGCCTTTGCATGAGTTTGCAGTTTTAACAGTATTTTTAAAAATATTATATAAGCTGGGGAGCATCCACCTCAAGGATGCCATAAAGTTTCTTACGAAAGTTTCCCACTCAAATAATGGAGTAGAAAGCAAATTTTAACCTCAAAATTCCACCGTCCAAACCGTCCGATTGTTTTCACAGCTTTGTGACACGCACTGCCAGAATGCGAGAATGAATCTTGAGAAAAACACACCTTTGAAGAATGCATCCAGCGCGCTTCTGTTGAGCGCACTTTGAAAGAAGGGGAGGATACACCACCATGAGCTTCTATGAAGAAGCTCTCTCTGCACTTGTCTCACTTCGTTTAAGAACTCTTTAAAATGAGCCTATTGATTTGTCTAATAACTGATAGTTCATTTGCATATTACCTCCAGCTCCTGCTGCTCGTAGCTGAGGTTGAAGCGAAGCAGCACGCGTCGAATTGGCTTGACGTGCTCACGCCACTCCAGGGGCCGGATAGCTGCATTGGACGTAACTCAAGATCCACTGTCGTCCCAGAGGCGGTTGTACGAACCGAGAACGGAGAGGAATGAGTGGAGCGACGGACGAATTACACCAGCAGAGATGTGTCGTCCGCGTCGCTCTCCCCGCTGCCCCCGTCTCTGACGCGTTTTCGTCCTCGCGTCTGATCGATACAGCGGCGAACAGTCACAGCCGCGAGATGCATATCATCAACAGGACAACAGCGCGATTCCCATTTTCTTGTAGTGTTTATTGTGTTTAGTTACTCCTACTATGACGGCACGAGTTGCATTGGCTAATAAAAACACCTGCGCATGCCATATATATCCGGCATGAGATGCGCATGATACGACTCGCGTCGGGCACTTTGGGCGGGAAAGTGCGTTGTCGCAATTATTCTAAATGAACGTGTGTGAACCACCATGCAGGGCAGCGAGTCAGAGACGCGTGTCAGTGAAGAGGAATCAGGACGACAGGAAGAGCAGAATGACGACACCGCTGGGCCTCGCCAGAAGACGGTTATAGGTAGATATACTAGCTCTAGCACTGGACCATCTCGTGGCTAATCTACTCTATGATGTCTGATAGAGGAGGGCCCAGTTCCAAGAGGACCACAGCTGACACAGTGCATGATGATGACTCATCGTCTGGCTGAGGCAGGGAGCAGATCCGGGGACAGCCACATAGTGAGTTGAATGTAACGGCATTTAGCTGAAATTAAGAAACACGTGCAAATTGTATCCAAAAGCAGACCAGCTCTAAAGCGCGACAAGTTGCATTTGTTTTTTCTACAACGATTTCCCTATCCCTGTGTTGTTATAGCGCCATTTCATTCGCCGTTTCTCGGAACATTTTGCAGTTGTAGCAAGACGCAGATTATTCAAAGAACTTTCATGTATTCAATACAGCAAAGAGTTCTCAAAGACCTCCGTGATCTGCATGCCCTAACCTGTGACCAACCACTCTATCGGGGGAGTGGGAGGAGGCTTCTCAGAGACTGAAGGAGACTAGTGGCAGATGAGCAGCTCATCAGTGGACCTGCCGGGGAGTGCAGAGGTGCCCAACCACTTAAGTTGCTCCAGATCATCTGAAGCAACCTTGCTGCACTCAGCACAACAATAAGAGGTCTGCTTTCTTACACGTCTGTTTAGCTACTCCGTGTATGAAGCTCCTTTATAATATAATATTCCCTACTTTGAACAATAGAGTGTGTGTTGATGATTAATTCGTGATCAAATATTATTTTCAGTGTGACTTTATTCTTGCTCATACATCATACGGTGGCCATCATGCTATGCATACATACAGATGAGAGAATGTGAAGAGTTTTCTGTGTGGACTGGAGGATGGTTCCGCTGGCAGGAGTGGATGACGACTCCGTGTTTGTATTCCTGCAAACTACGCCACTGAGCTCTGGTAGGAGACCAATATGCATGCAAAACACAGTTCCTGCCTGCTAAGTTCATAGTTTGGAGCACGTGTAGTATATCATACAAAGTAAGTATTAATAAAGTGAAAGTGTCATCTTCATCATGCTGGTTTCTCCAGTACCAGTGGAGGGAGGACGGAGAAAGGAGTGGTATTGGACACCAGACCGTGACGAATCACATGCCGTGCTCGTCCTGACGTGGTGACCGGAGGGCAGTGGAAGGGGGAAACCCCTGCCCCTGAGAATGTGGGAGATAATTGCCTACCTCGATGCTCTTCGTCTTACTGCTCGACTAGCAGTACAGACCTCGCCTAGAGTTTGATGTCGCTTAAGGTTCTGAAAGCTCTGGTGCTGTGGACGACTGAGGCTGAAGGTACAACTGCTAGATGAGGTGGTTAATAAATGTGAGGATGCAACACATGTGACTAATGATTCTAATCACCAACGTGGAGTCCTAGGTTGAGATGCTGAGAGCCTTGAAGAAGCACAAAGAATTGACTAGTTTTCTATTTCCTGCAACAATATTACGTGCGCACGAAATAACAGCATAGACGTAATTTAGATCATTCAGCTCACACTTTGCACTGCTGACGGATAAAAAGTGTGCCGTAGCCACTACTCCAATCAGCAGCCTTTGAAGACCTCATCTTATGGCTTTGTGGTACATCAGCCCGTCATAAGCCAGCCACTGGTGTCCTGTCGCAATGGACTCGCACCACAACTACGAGCTACTATCCGACGGCCTGTCACGCTGTTCGTGTACGCCTACTGCGCCTGCCCGTGCTCCTGCGCACCTGTGCGGACTCCGCACGGAGTGCGCGTGTATTTCAGTGTATGGCAGTGTGCTTTTGTGTGGAGCGCTAGAGCAGCTAGAGTTGTTATTCTAACTCTCTCAAGCACCGGCAAAGCTTGCCGTAGTTTCTGCTTGGATCAGACTAAAGGAAGGAAGCAAGACTTAACTTTTCAGACAGGATATCAAGCAGATACTACGATCGACTTTTATCATCGCTATATGATAGCTGCTATATCTACAGCAATAAGCATAGCTAGCGACCAGGTTATACCCAAATGGCAGTTATTTTGGAGTAGAATGGGAGTAGTTGTATTTCCTGAGGGGGAATACAACCTATATCATTTTTGAGACTTCAGTAAGGCTGCAATCATCACACACCAGAGTCTCAGTGCTGTATAAGTTCTGGTGCAAAATTTTGGTGTTGTGCCATATATCCTATGTAGCTAGCTACTTACTCCGTTTTGCTGCAGAAGTTGTTTTGTGGTACCAACCCGCGCCTGCTTTTTGGCCTGGCATACAGCATAAGCTGGAGCATTAAAGATATACGAGAAAGGTATTACACACTGTTGCGGTGTATAGGGAACTCTGATTTGTATCACGCTTATTTAGCTGAGCGCATAAATGGATAGTATCGACAGAATGGCCGCGGGAACGTACGTAATATTGGTAAAGAGCAATACGATAAGAGAAAGTTCGAACAACCTGTGCGTTGACGCTATAGACATGGTGCGGTGATTGATGTAGAAGTTGGGCGGGAGTAGTCACAGCTGTAGGTAGAGGGTCATGAGCTTACTGTTTCCTTGCTCTAATGTTTTGGCCTTACTAGCTGCACGCATTTTGGCTGGCAACACTCTAAGATCTGTATCTCTCAACCATGTGTTAACTGCTCTCTTGTATTGTCTTCCTGGCCGGGGCCACCTGTCTAGCAAACATTTTCTACTGCATTTCTCATAGTCGTAACTCCTAGGTACACTGAGGACTACGCAGAGTTGTGCAGTAGACAGACTATATGTGTACCTATACCTCCTGCGCAGTAATGAGTCTGATGCAGCCTCCCCTCTCTCAGAATTTGGCCACATGCAGCGCTTGTATGTAAGCTTTTATGACTACAGAGCTTTGTAGGTGTCCACCACTCCCACCAAAGTAACTTCTCACAGTCGTCTGTTGTCGCACAGCCGTTTGCCATTGCCATACGTTAGACGGACAACAGCAATGAGTGTCCATCTTACTCTGCACTCAATTTGACAGATTAAAACGACGGCTTTCATATCAGTAGATTTAATCTCGAGCAACGACGCAATCTGAAATCGAGTTTAGGACCTAAGCTAAAGTAACATTTCCTTGGAAGCAGCTTTGCTGCAATATCGCTCGTCCTACAGACAGACCTAGCAGTTAGTGGGTTTCGGTTGGGGTGGAATGGATCGTCACATAGTGAAATGAACTACTCTCCGACTCCTTTACTTAGTTAATGGGAACAGGTCACAACCCTGTCTCGGTGCCAAGGATGCCATTTGGTGTTCTTTTGTCATGTCCACACCTCTCTGCCACAGTTGTGCTAATACAGATTATAACACATGGCCTCACCCAGTACTCAGAGTACTGCACATACGCTACCATTTGTCAGCGATTGATGTAACCTTTAGAATCGCTCCGTATTGTAAGCAAGGTCTACATATGACATAGCTAGCTCTTTTAGCACGTACCAGATCTAGTGCTTAGACTCCTGCCTAACGAATTAAAAACCTATTCTGACTCACTTGAATATCACGCATATGAAAATCTTTGAATTTAAACAATCAATCAGTTTTTTATGATAATAAACAAATAATACCAAACTTACACACTCATGACGACTATCAATAAGTATCTATGTAACAGAGCCTGGGCATGACTTTCTGCATGATGGAGTCATGTATAATTGAAGGCTGTAAATGCCAGAGTAACCTCAAAAATTGATCTTCTTCCTGCAGAGTGCACTTGTTTACTATCGACACAAATGAGCTGTCCTCCACTTGTTATGGCTCTCACGCTTAATAAGCTCTAAACCACACTCGGGGCTTTCAGTTTGGACCACATGCTGCGCGCCCTAGTTGCCGTGAAAGGGACATCATTGAATATAGGATACGAGTTTCTAACCTCCAATTAGATCATCTCACAAAGGTTACTATTCTTTTTCTCACTTCTCTGACAAGGAACCAACCCTTTAGGGAGAGGTATATGGAGTCAGTCATAGATGAAGCAGATGGTGTTGAGACTGTGGTGATACTCATTTAGGAGCCATTTCCAACCGCATGATCATTTGGTCTCACAGATGTGCAGATATTGGGCAGGAGTCCTTATCACAAACAGCTACGCTAGGCGTAGTGGAATTGTCTGCTTCCAAAGTTTAAAACCAACAGTCATTAGCATACGTTAGTGCAGGATGACACAGCAGATTCAGCATTGTGATTGCTAGTTGGACTACAAATCAGTTAACGTCAGGCGTCTTGGCGTGTACTTCAGAAATCCTCCTCGACTGTTAACTTTACAGTCTACAGCGCCGTCGGGCTACGCGCCTCGTCCGGTAATAGTAAACACCTCGAATATACTCCTGTATATACCGCCTCGCCACCTATAAGTGAGGCTAGAGTACCTCAAAATTTGATATTTCCTGCAGAGTAGCACTTGTTTATTGGAAAATGGAGGCTGTCCTCCACTTGTTTTTGCTTCTTCTTCTGACTGACAGGTTTTTCTCAGTGTTTCACTACACAAACTGTACTGGAGGACTGGTAGTGGCAGCAGATCATCGAGCCTGTTGTGTGGGAACAGATGATGGGCTTTCTTTCAATGATGGCACCACCTGTACTCTCTGTATAGGTATGTCAGTTGTAGCTATAGACTTAGTCCTGGCATCATGAGGGCTTGGCAACATACAGTGCATGGGTTCCGGCAGAGTAAGTATGATGTGGTAGAGGGCGGGAGACTGGACACAAGGTTTCAACTCAATGTAAAGGGAACAACACAGTTTGGTGGTGGTCTTGTTGTCCCTGGTCTCATTACAACTGCAGCAGATGGCACTGCAAGTAAGCTTCATGTGTAGTAGTTAGCTTTACCTGCACATGTTATATCTGCAGGCACCTCAGACTTTGAAAGGCTGCAACCAATCAGAGTAACAAACAGTGCAGAGATTCGTCTGTTCACTTCCAATGATGAAATCACTCTGGAGTATGACGACAGAGTGCTACTGAGGTTCACTCCTGACGATCCTAGTCTTATTCCTGGTTTAGAGGCTAATGGAGAGTATATCAGAGATACTGCAACAGTCAATATCGTTGATAATGATTGTAAGTGCTTCTCCCATGATCAGGGTGCTGTTTAATCTGGCACATTGTCTGTTTGTAGTGTTGGAGATTAATTTCTTAGAACCTGACTATTCTTTTGAGGAGGGTGCGAGAATTTTGTGTACACAAATTACACTTCAGCTCCGGACAAATCAGAACCCCTTTAATATAACTCTTAGTCCTGTTACTGTGGACACAGCTGAGTCTATGGGTTTGGGATTTTTCATTAATTCTGCAAACATTGGGCAGGGATCTAGAGCTACAGCAGGTATATACTTATAAGCATGGCATGGGTCAATATCACATAACAATACACCCCTAATTAAACTGAATAAAGCCTCAATCTGCATGTGCCTTTACATAACCACACTATTATACGTAACTCTGTAAACTTGGCATGCCTGTTGCTTAGCCTCATTCCCAGGCCTGGTGGCTATACACACACTGTTCGCGCATGCACCAAATACTCCCATTGAGCGTCTATACCTAAGCTTGACTCTTATGATTATAGAAAATCTATGATATTGCTCCTGTTCTCTCTCTTTCCTCACCTGATATTATCATGCTGATTTCAGTGATCAGCCAATCACAGTTGAAGTTCCCGCCAATTCTCAAACTTTCAGAGTACCAGAGTTCTTCACAATTGTCGATGATGATATTGATGAAGATGAGCAAAGCTTTGCAATAGTTGCTGAGATAGGACCTGATGTTCCTGAGAATATCAGCTGTTTCCAGATTGGAATTGGGGTAACAGAGTGTTATGGACGACGAGGAGCGACTGAGATTAGAACTTATGACAATGACCGTGAGCTGTTTACTTATGGGTCGTATGCTGTTTTAGCGCTTTACCCTTGGCGCGCATGCGCAGCGAGGGTTACAGTGCTTAGTTAACCCTCGGCGTGCATGCGCAGCGAGGGTTGGTTTGTGAGTGTGTCTGTCTGTCCGTCTGTTACCACGTTTTCTGCGACTACGTGCAAGGAGACAACAATACAGCGGTACCAACGGGTTCATCGCTAAACTGGCTTCATTTAGAAAAGGCGATTTTCGTAGAACTACTGCGTTCAAAAACTTATGGAGTGAAAAGCACGTGAACAAGCCAATATGCAAATTAGCACAGGCTTACCTCGACCAGGTCCGCTCGCTCTGTGTAACTTGAAGGCACAAGAAGTCACAACGAAGGTCGTGTATGGTCCCCCATGCTATCGACTACTGTAACTAGCCCGTGTGAGTCGTGTCAGACTCTCCGCGAGCTACTAGCAGGAGACCACGAGTAAACGCATACTAATAGCCCAGCCCATAAATAATTAGCGGTACAACGCATTTCGCCGAGGGTTTGCAATTCAGTGCTTTTCATTTTTGGCAGCAATGATCATTGGTTTCACTGAGAGAATTCGGACTGTATCAGAAGGTCCAGTACCTGAGATGGACTTGTTCCAGCTAGCAATAAATTTAGCCAGTGCAAGGACTGCTGAGAGGGAGCATCCAATGATATTCCGTCTTCAAGAACCCAGCACCAATGCCACAATAGAGCCACTAACAGCATCTAGCCCAGTTTTTAGTGTTGATGCCGTATTTGGTCTCAGAGAAAACCCCGATGACCCCATTGAGGAGACAAGGAACCTAAAACCAAGATCACGGACAGTGCAACCTCCACTGCTAACAGCTGTTAGAAACGACTTGATACCTGAGGAAACAGAATGTTTTACTATACGTGTACTCCCTGTTGATGTTCCTGGTCGCCGTGACCTGTTTACGTGCAATGAAGATGGAGTAGGTGCAGACAATTATTTCTGTGAACACACCATCTGCATAAAAGATGATGATGGTGAATGATTACAATTTCTACTTGTTACTTGTCTAATGGTTGAATGATTTTTTAAACAGAGGCCTTTGTTGTGGCATTTGTGGAGACAGAGTACACTGTTGATGAGAGTATGGGTGCAGTGAGTGTTTGTGTCAATCTCATACAACCTGAATTTGACATTCTTGATGAAACTGTCAATGTGTTTGTCATTGATAACCCCAGTTCACTCTATATCCCACCTGGTGCTTCTTTGGCAAGTGAGTAGAAACATTGATTTGAAGTGCGCGATAATTTGGGTTTTATGCAGGACCTGATCCACCTAATTTTCTAAGTCGGTACGAAATGAGAGCAGGCTCAGATTATGCCCAGCAGACTAGCACTGTCAATCTCATCGACAACTATTTAGTTAGTGAATTTATGAGAATCGTTTGCTTTAATCAGACAATCTATGATGATTCACATTTGGAGCCAGATGAATACATGGGCCTGACACTAGGAGTCAGACATAATCCATCTACAACAGGTTTTACATTGGTGCAGCCAACATTTGATCAAGCTTCCATACTCATTGTTGACAATGACGGTAAGTTTTACCAGTAGTGCTACTGGTGTTTTTCCATCACTCTTGTTTCCTTTTGAAGAGGCTGTGGTTGGTCTCGAAAGAACGTCCTACAATTTATCAGAGGGGAATGAACTAGTGGAACTTTGTGCTGTTGTAGTTCATCCTGACATAATGTGTCCCCATCACTTTCCTTTTAATCTGTCCTACTCGATGTCGCTGAAGGTACAGGTATTTATCAAGTTTTCCTCATTCTCATGTTTCTGTATATTTTGCAGATTCCAGAGTGCTCTTCTTTGATGTTTGTGAAAGAAGAGTGTGTGTGTACAATGCACGTTAGTGTTAGAGAATTTCACATTTCCAAGTGGCGAGAACTGAGCGGTCTTGATGCTGAATCAGTCTTAGTACCGGGGCAGGGATATGATTACTGTTTCTAGTTTAACTCTGTTGTGTCGTACGTTATTTTACATAGCGACATGTTACTACAGCTCAAACTTGCAACGTTTTGACACAATTGCTGTTTTTGTATATTACTAGGAACTTTCAGTGCAGCAGAATGTAGTTAACTCCTCGGCGCGCTCTGCGCAGCGAGGGTTGCACGGTAATGGTTGTCTGTCTGTCTGTCTGTCGCGCTCTGTCTCTCTGTCTGTCTGTCCTGTCTGTCTGTCTGTCTGTCCTCTGTGTGTCGAGACCTTATTCTGGCACTTACACGCCACAGCGCGGCTCATTAGGCGATGCCAGAGGCTTACGGACCTACGCGCCTGAAATATCATGGCAATTTGCATTGCAACGCACTGAGCGCTGAGAGCATGATCGTTGCCATAGGATACAAGCGAAAAAGCCAATAGTAGCTATGTTCAATCGCACTGGCTACCTGATGCGCTGGTGCTCTGTGACCTTCGACGTCATGGGACGTCACGAAGAATGGCACTTTGTATACAACTCCACGCATGCTAGCTACCACTCGTAGCTAGCCTGTGTCAAGATCTCCGCGATGTTAGTACGCGCGCGTTCCGGTTGATACGCATACAAATAGCCCCAACGGCCCATCGATTGCAGCCAGTATCGCGCATGCGCAGCTCCGCCACACGACTATCTTTAGTTCAACCTCGGCGCGCATCGCAGCAGCGAGGGTTACTGTAGTGGGTTTGTGTGTGTGAGGTCTGTTACTCTTCAATCTCACTTCTCCCTTCTCGAGTGTTGTGTTCGGCTCACCAAGGATACGATCTGGACTTAACGGGCATGGAGTCAGGAAATTTGTGGGTTTTTCTCTGGAAAACTGCTCCGTTGCAAAGCTAGAGCGCTTCCAGCGAATTGTATGGCTAATGCGGCGGTAGTCGCCATTTTGATAGCTGATAATGCAGCATGCGCTGATATTTAGAACACAGGCTTACCCTCGCACCTGGTCCCCCTTGCTCTGTCTATTTGAAGCACCACAGAATCACAAACGAATGGCGTGTATCGACTCTCGCGTGCTATCTACTCTACTGTAGCTAGCCCGTGTCAAGACTCTCTGCGAGCTACTCGCCCGAGGGTTTGCACTTTAGTGCTTTTCATTCCTAATATATATTACACAGTCCTACTAAACATGATGCCTACAGTTAAGTTTATGAAGTGGATGCTCTATCACACAGGGACTGTGGTGGATCCCCACCTGAGGTTTTGAAATGGACTGATATCCATTCATCTTACTTTCAACGCAACTACAACTGTCACCTATGAGTGTGCTGACTGATACTACTCCTCCAAGAAGGCGTTGAATACAGCACCTTCTCGAACTTGCCTTACCAGTGGAAATTGGCGTCAGAAGTAAACATATTGTGCTGTAAGTTGTCATACCATGAAGAACTCTGCAACTTACCGTAATATACCACCCGGCAAGAAAGGAAACAATCAAATTATCGTATCGGTATAATTATGGCCAAATTCTCGCTTGGAGAACTACAGTATCTTTGGGCATACGTATAACTATAGCGGTGGGCCTGTGAGTTGTTGCTGGCGTATAATGAAGGCTTAGCTAAGCATTCCTATCAAGTTCTGAGGCATTTTGTACGTGGATCACGTGAAGATTATACTCAGGACAGATTATTCTTATTGCCAGTGCCAGTAATTTGCATGTGCGCAAATAAACCTCGTGAAATTCTGAGCTTATTGCTTATTTTCAGATGCTGAATGTGGTGATCCTCCTGAATTGCAAAATGGAGGGATATCATACTTGGATAAAACCTTTGTGTCATATGATTGCAATGATGGTTATCAATTTAAAGAGGGAGTTGGACACAGTACATCTCGAACTTGCCTTACCAGTGGAAATTGGTCGGAAGAAAACATATTGTGCAGTGAGTTGTCGTATTGCGAAGAACTCTGCAATTTACCGTAGATAGCTACCAGCGGCAGAAAATAAACAATCAAATTATGGTGAATTTTGTATGGCTATGGCGAAATTCTCGCTTGGAGAACTACAGTACGTTTGGGCATACGTTTAACTAGAGGTTGGCCTGTGAGTTGTTGCTGGCGTATAATAAAGGCTTAGCTAGGCATTCCTATCAAGTTCTGAGGCATTTTGTACGTGGATCACGTGAAGATTACACTCAGGGCAGATTATCCTTATTGCCAGTGCCAGTAATTTCCATGTGTGCA